CCCTACCCTAACCCCTCCCCCGCTCAACCCCAGCCTTTCACCCACTGAAAAATTTGTAAAGTCACTGTGGGGAATTTCACCCAGTTCCCAAACCAAAATGTTAAGTAGATATCTTTGTCCAGTTTCAGTTTCAAACTTAACCCCCCCCCAACTCCCCCTACATCTCCTCAGCATCTGAAGCCTACTGAGGATGTTCAGTAGATGTATTTACTCCCTGTGGTGGACTTCTCCAGTGACGGCATCACCTCCTCCACACTGGGCTGAAGCTTACTGTAGTCACTTGTCTTGGGTCTCCTTTGTCGACGCCCGCCTCTGCCTTCGACAATGAAAGCCACAATCTGAAAACGTCAACAAATATATTGAGTTCTTGTAGGGTTATAACTCTATTATCAGTATATTTTTCAACAAGCAAACCTATCTTATGTATATTGTATACAGGTTTATTATAAACGCGTTGTATACTGGGTTGTCCTATTGTATAGTGAGTTACATGGTTATTATATATACTAATATACCTGTAGGGTTATATGTCGTGTGTACAAGGTTATTACATAATATAAGCTGTATACAGGTTTAAAATGTATACTGAATACCGGGGTATTAAATACTCTGTATACAGGCCGGGTAATTATGTACACTGTATAAAGATTTATAATATATACCATATACAAGGTCATAATATATACAGTATACAGAGTTATATACAGTTTACATATTTTATACAGGGTTATCAAATACTTTGTACACAGGGTCATTTTCTGTATACTTAACATGTACAGGATAAATTGGTTTGGCTGGTTTGTGTCATTATATGTCCTATTAACAGCTGTGGTCAATTAGGACATGCCAGGTTTTGGTGGTGGAGAAAAGCCGAATCGCCCAGAGAAAAACCGCCGGCCAGCTGGTCAGTACCTGGCAACTGCCCCATGTAGGCCTCAAACTATCAACGTGGTACATGTGGAAGGCTACTGACCATGGATGGTCAGATATCTTGACCACTCAGCCTACCTGGCCCGGTTTTAATGTATATACAGTATACAGTGTTACATACTAGTTTTTATCACATACCTGTTGAATCTTGTTATAGTAATACAAGCAATTTTCAGACCTTGTAATACAGTGTTCTGTATTACACATGTGGAATATATGGAATGTTGTATTTACCTACTACCCGGAACTACTTTTAATGGGAATCCCCTTGTCATGTTGATTTGAAAAAGTTTCCGGTATTTGCAAAAAAATATCAAAGTTTATGAAATCTTTGTATCTATCTCTACCAAATACGGAAGGTAGGTGATAAAAGCAAGACCTTAAACTTGTGTTTTTTTCTAACAAATCAGAAAGTATTCGTCCGTGCAATAAACTCGTGCTTTCTGATTCGTTAGAAAAGCACAAGTGTGTGGTCTTGCATATCGATATTTTATACAGGGATATCATATACAATGTATACCAAGGTTATTTTACATATCGTAAACTGGCTAAATATAACAATTGTATACAGGGTTATTTTGTATACAGGGTTATTTTGTATACAGTATACAGGGTTATTTTGTATACATGATTATTGCTATAGAGTAATTAATGGATGACTTCAACGCAATAGTAAACTTTGGTAGTCATCAGATGTTCAAGAACCAGCAACCAGCAACCAAGAAACATAAACCCACCCCACTGCACATGGTCAAAACAATATCTTCTAGTGTTATCATAGATGAATTTGACTCTATTGGCAAACCTCAACAGATTCAATGACATATTAAAGGAAGGGGTGGGGGCAATTATCACTCGGAAACCTCTATGCGAATGCCTGGCCTGGCCATGGTCAAAACGATATTTTCTAGTGTTATCATAGATGAATTTGACTCTATTGGCAAACCTCAACAGATTCAATGACATATTAAAGGAAGGGGTGGGGGCAATTATCACTCGGAAACCTCTATGCGAATGCCTGGCCTGGCCATGGTCAAAACGATATTTTCTAGTGTTATCATAGATGAATTTGACTCTATTGGCAAACCTCAACAGATTCAATGACATATTAAAGGAAGGGGTGGGGGCAATTATCACTCGGAAACCTCTATGCGAATGCCTGGCCTGGCCATGGTCAAAACGATATTTTCTAGTGTTATCATAGATGAATTTGACTCTATTGGCAAACCTCAACAGATTCAATGACATATTAAAGGAAGGGGTGGGGGCAATTATCACTCGGAAACCTCTATGCGAATGCCTGGCCTGGCCATGGTCAAAACGATATTTTCTAGTGTTATCATAGATGAATTTGACTCTATTGGCAAACCTCAACAGATTCAATGACATATTAAAGGAAGGGGTGGGGGCAATTATCACTCGGAAACCTCTATGCGAATGCCTGGCCTGGCCATGGTCAAAACGATATTTTCTAGTGTTATCATAGATGAATTTGACTCTATTGGCAAACCTCAACAGATTCAATGACATATTAAAGGAAGGGGTGGGGGCAATTATCACTCGGAAACCTCTATGCGAATGCCTGGCCTGGCCATGGTCAAAACGATATTTTCTAGTGTTATCATAGATGAATTTGACTCTATTGGCAAACCTCAACAGATTCAATGACATATTAAAGGAAGGGGTGGGGGCAATTATCACTCGGAAACCTCTATGCGAATGCCTGGCCTGGCCATGGTCAAAACGATATTTTCTAGTGTTATCATAGATGAATTTGACTCTATTGGCAAACCTCAACAGATTCAATGACATATTAAAGGAAGGGGTGGGGGCAATTATCACTCGGAAACCTCTATGCGAATGCCTGGCCTGGCCATGGTCAAAACGATATTTTCTAGTGTTATCATAGATGAATTTGACTCTATTGGCAAACCTCAACAGATTCAATGACATATTAAAGGAAGGGGTGGGGGCAATTATCACTCGGAAACCTCTATGCGAATGCCTGGCCTGGCCATGGTCAAAACGATATTTTCTAGTGTTATCATAGATGAATTTGACTCTATTGGCAAACCTCAACAGATTCAATGACATATTAAAGGAAGGGGTGGGGGCAATTATCACTCGGAAACCTCTATGCGAATGCCTGGCCTGGCCATGGTCAAAACAATATTTTCTAGTGTTATCATAGATGAATTTGACTCTATTGGCAAACCTCAACAGATTCAATGACATATTAAAGGAAGGGGTGGGGGCAATTATCACTCGGAAACCTCTATGCAAATGCCTGGCCTGGCCATGGTCAAAACAATATCTTCTAGTGTTATCATAGATGAATTTGACTCTATTGGCAAACCTCAACAGATTTAATAACATAAAGAAGGGGTGGGGTCAATTATCACTTGGAAACCTCTATGCGAATGCCTGGCCTGGTCTTGTCACGAAATGTACTCAAGATTTCACAAATAGATCCTTTTGTTTATTAACACCAATCCAGGAATAGAGCCAACGCCGTTACTTTAGTTCAGGTTCGGTTGGTTCCGTTATCCCTTGCCTGGATACCAACCAGTGTGCAGGGCGATTGAAGAATAGAGAAACTAAGAATAGGTGTCAATCGCGACAAGCTCAGGATAAGTTGAATTTTCTTTATTAGGATACGTCTACCTGAGAACATCCGTGCAGCGATTGACGCCTATTCTTTTGAAATGTTAATGTGATTAGTGTTTTGCTGTGAGTTTTAAGAAAATTACCTTCTGTTTGTTGTGGAATAACACATATCCCGCCACATAAAGAACAACAGCAGTCAGGAAATAGGCCACGAAGTGTCCAGATGACGACTCATTCTCATCATCCACCACTGAAAGATTAAACAAATATAATGCATATTTAGGTGACGTTTTTGTGTGTTTTCCCTACAGATAAGTGACTAATTATTACCCTTTAACCCCCACAAGGTCTTATTCCGTCTTTGCGTATTGCAGAGTTATCTTCTCTTGAGAGCAGGTATTGATTGTTACGTCATTTGTTTGTGAGAGTAACGTCATCAATTTTTGAGAAAACGACGTAATTTTCTCACACGAACCAATGACGTAACAATCAATACCTGCTCTCAAGAGAAGATAACTCTGCAATACGCAAAGACGGAATAGTCCTGCAGGTTGTTTTTTTGTTCATTTTTTGTCTTATTTGGGGGAAAACTGCAATGCAGACTTTCTACAGAATGTTCACGGCATAATTACCTTGCATCTTGAGTTACAACTTAAGCCAATTCATTGTAAATGTATTCATAGATTTTTTGCTGCACAAACGCGATGACTTACCTTCTGTACGCGTCACTTTTTTGGGGTCAGGGGAGTCTGAAGAATAGGAAAATGCTCCATTGGTTTATGTATACTAATGATCAACTAGTCAAAAAGGTTCATCAGCCTGGCCACGTAATTGCATGCAAATACATACAATTAGACCTGCTTCAAAATGATTTTGAAGAACCATTTTACATTGTATAATGTACACCATCAAATGGCTATATTTTCACTCCCCATTTTTAATCCTTCAAAGTATTTGAACAAATGCAATTGTTTTGGTTCTGCTTAATCTGATAAATATCTGTAAATTTGTTTAATATCCTATATATTTGTAGCCGATATTTTATACGTACAATATATCTTAACTTCCACAAGGTAATCTTCTTTGATTTTACACAAAATAAATTACTTATTTCAATATGAATTATATGGCTTTAATCAGCTTTAAATACTGTATAGTGAGTTATTTACAAGGGCTCAGATTTTCGCAATTTTGACCAAAAATTAGAACATTGAATTTACACGGATAATAATTTTGCCATCTAGATATTTGAAGGAACTAAATTTTTCGCCGTGGTTTAGCACAGAGACGGGACACTTGAAATATCAAGTGTCAAATAATCACACGAATAGGTGTTTTTGATAGCATATTGGGTACCAACGAGTAAGTGTATTTTGTTAAACAGTTTGATCATCAACGAAACTATAAGATGAGTAATATAACCTTTATATGAATACTGCTACTTCATGATGGCATTATAGGGTTATAAAGTTAATTATCATGGCTAATTTTTAAGCTTGTCCGATTATTCTTCGGATGATATTTTCGCGATCACGTTATATATTAACTATTGACCGGCAAAATCGCAAAAATATCATTTCCACAGAAACACTATTTAAAGGATGTAATTTTTTTAGCCTCAAAGAATTTCCCCATTACATTTAATGTTCATGCATACCACAAAGAAAGAGAAAATGTCTAGGATAGGACTCAAAAGTCCGAATAATAATGAACTATAATTATATATAAAAGTTCTCAAAGAAATGACCGTCCCCCTGTCCGAGAAGTCTGCAGACTGATGATGATGATACATCTTTTGATGAAATAGCAATGGTTGACATTTAAATTGCAACAGTGACCTTGGCATTGACCTTTGGACTATGAAATACACACTCATCTGAAGTTTTCTCATATTTGACATCTATATAAACTTTGATGAACATTTGTCAAGAAACAATTTCAGCAGTCATGACAATGAATCAAGACATAGGAAGACGGACATGGGTAACGCTAAATTTACCCCCGCCACTTCTTTATGCAAAGACATAACTTAAGTCTAGCTATTGTATGTACAATTACTTACCGCATTTTCAAGTTTTTGGGTCAGGTTACTGTATTCTCTTAAGTTATATTTTAGCTGTTGTTTTTTCCCCTACTTACACAAGATATGGGACAAGGTTTTTTTCCTCAATATAGTACCCCATCGTGATTTTGCAAAAGCTAAATGGCACCCTCCTAACATACCAAAAAACAAGACTACATTTACATAACAACATGCTCTTCTGATACCGGTAGATCCTCACTGTTGAGATCTGGTTCTCTTTCAGTATTGCTACCAAAAGAAGTTCTTGTCTAATCAATATCCTCACCATTAATAGGTTGGTTGGTGCTGTCAGCATTCCTACCTGAATTGGCACCTGTTTCAGCATTTTCACCAGTATTGACAGGATTAAGAGCTGTTCCACCATTTCCACCAGTATTGACAGGATTGGATCCTGTTCCAGCATTTCCACCAGTATTGCCAGGATTGGGAGCTGTTCCACCATTTCCTCCAGTATTGACAGGATTGGGAGCTGGTCCAGCATTTCCACCAGTATTGACAGGATTGGGAGCTGTTACACCATTTCCACCAGTATTGACAGGATTAGGAGCTGGTCCACCATTTTCACCAGTATTGACAGGATTGGGAGCTGGTCCACCATTTACACCAGTATTGACAGGATTGGGAGCTGTTCCCCCATTTCCACCAGCATTGACATGATTGGGAGCTGGTCCACCATTTCCACCAGGATTGACAGGATTGGAACCTGTTCCACCATTTCCACCAGTATTGACAGGATTAGGAGCTGGTCCACCATTTTCACCAGTATTGACAGGATTAAGAGCTGTTCCGCCATTTTCACCAGTATTGACAGGATTAATAGCTGTTCCACCATTTTCACCAGTATTGACAGGATTGGGAGCTGTTACACCATTTCCACCAGTATTGACAGGATTAGGAGCTGGTCCACCATTTTCACCAGTATTGACAGGATTAAGAGCTGTTCCGCCATTTTCACCAGTATTGACAGGATTAAAAGCTGTTCCAGCGTTTCCACCAGTATTGACAGGCTTGGAACCTGTTCCACCATTTCCACCAGTATTGACAGGATTTGAACCTGTTCCACCATTTCCACCAGTATTGACAGGATTTGAACCTGTTCCACCATTTCCACCAGTATTGACAGGATTAGGAGCTGGTCCACCATTTTCACCAGTATTGACAGGATTAATAGCTGTTCCACCATTTTCACCAGTATTTACAGGATTAAGAGCTGTTCCACCATTTTCACCAGTATTTACAGGATTAAGAGCTGTTCCACCATTTTCACCAGTATTGACAGGATTGGGAGCTGGTCCACCATTTCCACCAGTATTGACAGGATTGGGAGCTGTTCCACCATTTTCACCAGTATTGACAGGATTAAAAGCTGTTCCAGCGTTTCCACCAGTATTGACAGGCTTGGAACCTGTTCCACCATTTCCACCAGTATTGACAGGATTGGAACCTGTTCCAGGATTTCCACCAGTATTGACAGGATTGGAACCTGTTTCACCATTTCCACCAGGATTGACAGGATTGGAACCTGTTCCACCATTTTCACCAGGATTTACAGGATTGGAACCTGTTCCACCATTTTCACCAGTATTGACAGGATTGGGAGCTGTTCCAGCATTTACACCAATAGTGGGAGCTGTTCCAACATTTCCATCACTATTGGCAGAATTGAGGGCTGTTGTGGCGCTTCTATCAGTATTTGAAGCTGTTCTAGAATTTCCACCACTAGTGGGAGTATTGGGAGCGGTTCTATTTTTTCCACCAGTATTAAAAACTGTTTTAGTGATTCCACCAAAGTGTGGAGCACTCTCAGCCTTTCCTGTAATATTGAGGGCTGTTGCAGCAATTTTAGCAGTATGGCTATCACTGCTTACAACAGGTTTTATTTCAGGTTGCTTAGAGGTATCTGTTCCAGCGCTCCCAATAGTACTTTTAGTTGTTCCAGTATTGTTCTCTTTTGTACTAACAGGACCTAAAAAAAACAAAGTTTTTGTTAATAAATTATAACTTAAGACCAGTCAAATTTTATTTGATTACGATTTATTCTTAAATTATTATAATAAGAGAAAGTTATAAAGATAGAAACAATTGGCCCAATGGGCCTGCATCGCTCGTTAATCTCACACTTGTAACCTTAAAAGTGATCCGAAATAAAGCTACATGCAAAATATCAGTATTTATGACTACAAGTCATCCAAAAGAAACTGTTAAAAGAATTAAAAACCCCGGTGACCTCGAATGTCGAAGGACATGACGTTGAACAAACTTTAAATTATAGCCCTTCATCTTGGCATGCAACTTGCCAAATACCAGCAACCCAGACATTTTGCTTATTGAAATTAGGTTATTCAAAGATTTATACATATTTAACCAAATGTTACCTTGAATGTGGGTCAAGGTAATTAAAATGAAAAAGCTTGACAACCCGTCATCCAAGCATATGCTACTGGCCAAATATTAATAATCTGGGCCTCATGGTTATTCAGAAGTTGTTTCAAGATTTTAAACAAATTTGACCCTGTGAGCTTGAATATAAGTCAAGGTCATTCACTTGAACAAACTTGGCAGCCCTTTATCCTAGCATGCTACTGGCCAGATATCAACATACTAGGCCTTATGGTTATTCAGGAGAAGTCATTTAAAATTAAGAACATTTTTAACCCCTGTGACATTGAATAAAGGTCAAGGTCATTTATTTTAACAAACTTGGTAGCCCTTTATCCCAGCATGTTATGGACTAAATATCATCATCCTGCACCTTTTGGTTATTCAGATGAAGTTGTTTAAATATTTTAAATATATTTGACCAAATATGACCTTGAATATAACCCTAGGTCATTCATTTTAACACACTTGGTAGCACTTCTTCCTAGCATGCTAATGGTTAGATATCAACATTCTGGGCATCATGGTTATTCAGAAGATGTTGTTTAAATATTTTAAACATATTTGACACCTGTGACCTTGAATAGGGGTCAAGGTCATTCACTTTAACAAACTTGGTAGTCCTTCATCCTAGCATGCTATAAAGCTACGGGCCAGATATCATCACCCTGGGCCTTTTGGTTATTCAGAAGAAGTTGATTAAAGATTTTGAACTATTTGATCCCTGTGACTTTGAATATAACTCAAGGTCATTCATTTTTAATAAACTTGGTAGTCTTTCATCCTAGTAGCTACGGGCCAGATATCAACATTCTGGGCATCATAGTTATTCAGAAGAAGTTGATTAAAGATTTTGAACATATTTGATCCATGTGACATTGAATAAAAGTCAACGTCATTCTTTGGTTATTCAGAAGAAGTTGTTTGAAAGTTTTTTAAAACAGTTGACCCCCGTAACCTTGAATATATTTCAAGGTCATTTATTTGAACAAACTTGGTTGCATTTCATGCCAGTATGTGATTGGCCAAATTTTATCATCCTGTGCCTTCTGGTTATTCAGAAGAAGATTTGAACATATTTGACTCCGGTCCTGTGACCTTGAAAATAGGTGAAGGTCATTTATTTGAACAAACTTGTAGTCCTTAAGCTTACTCCCAGCATGCTACTGGCCAAATACCATCGCCCCTAGGCCTCTTGGTTTTTGAGAAGAAGTTGTTAAAAGTAACAAGAGGCCCATAGGCCTTAACGGTCACCTGATATATTTATACAGAGAGTTGGTTTTGTTTTTAACATGAACAAAAATATTATTCAAAGTGACAAAAAACAATAAAACCACCTTATTCAATATCTAGCATACAGATTTAAGACTAAAAAGTATTTGAAACTAGCACCTCTGATTCTAAACAAGGAAAATGAAGAAATTTAAGCACACTGACTTCTTTGGGCCCCTGCCTACAGCCCTTGGGGGTAGGGCTGGCTCAAAATTATCAAAGGATCAAACTGTCAACCCAAGGTTATAATTCCAATCAAATTATTAACATGTAATAGTCAAAGGATCATTTGCCATTATAAACCATAATAAATCCCCCCCCCCCCCCCTCCCCCACAGGGTAAACGTGAGACCCTAGGGTCATAAACCTTAAGACCCTTCCATCTATGAAGAGAGTTTGATTCTACCATATCTGGGTCTTTGAGAAGAAGATTTTTGAAATTTCAGTCCATTAAACCCTTTTTTACCCCACCCATCAGCCCCTGGGGGTCAGTCAGGGCTGATATGTGCATACTATCAAACTGCTACTTAATACTGATAATGCTAACCCAAATTGAATTACTTCCAATGGAAATTAAACAAATGTTGGTCCAAAATGTGATTTCGCTATATCAACTATTGTAAAGTTTACCCCCTCCCCAGGGGGAAACGTTAGACCCCAGGGTCAAGAAATTCACAATTTTTGTTTGATTCTACCATATCTGGGTCTTGAGAAGAAGATTTTTGAAATTTTAGTCAATTTGACTCTTTTTGGCCCAGCTGGGGGCTTGGGACTAAACCGGCCACTGATTTTGTTGACCTTTGTCCATGGAAGGTTCCTGCAAAATTTCATTGAAATTGGTTCAGGGGTTTTGGAGAACAAGTCGAAAATGTAAATTGTTTACTGACGCACGACGGACGATGACGGACAAAAGGCGATCGCAATATAGGTCACTTGAGACTTTGTCTCAGGTGACCTGAAAAGTTGATGCCGGACAGACGACAGACGGACGAAGGACGCCGCACCATGGCATAAGCTCACTTGGCCCTTCTGGCCAGGTGAGCTAAAAACTATCTAAGTGACAGTGACATTGACCTTTGACAAACTACTTGCCAAAAATCAATCTTTCCTAGAACAACCAACCTACTTATTACTAGAAAGGTAATATGTGCTGTAAACTTCTATCTTGAGAATTACTTAACTTGATCTATTATGAATTATGTCAAAAATACATATGGGCCTTACACTTTTTTTGGACAACCCACATACATGTACCAAGTTTTAGCTTTGTGTAATCATTCATTCTTAAGTAAGCATTTCGAGAACAAATGAACATGGACAGACAGACATACCGAGCGATTGCTATTTATCTCTCTGAATTTCTTTCGGAGGGATAACAAATCAGTGAGGGCTTACATACATTTACCCTCTTGTAGAAATAAACCTGGTCTTAGAGAACAGTACACATTCCATATACCCGGTCTCCGAGAACATCACGCTTGCTATATCCCTGTCTCAGAGAACACCAAACTTGCTATATCCTTGGTATCAGAGAGCACCACACTTGCTACATTTGTATATCCCTGTCTCAGAGAACACCCCACTTGCTATATATCCCTGTCTCAGAGAACAGCACACTTGCTATATATCCCTGTCTCAGAGAACAGCACACTTGCTATATATCCCTGTATCAGAGAACACCCCACTTGCTATATATCCCTGTCTCAGAGAACACCCCACTCGCTATATATCCCTGTCTCGGAGAACACCACACTTGCTACATGTATATATCCCTGTCTCGATGGGCTCATAGCAGATCCGGGGGCCAATCCTGGTAGCATACTAGATCTTTATTCCCTCTTCATACACATGTACAATGTATACCGAGTAATTGCATAATATGGTTAAAGGATTAGAACTACAACCATTTTTAAGTTATAATGGCCCCTCTGTTGGCACAATTTTGATTTTCTACCACCTGAGAATGCTTTCAATCACATATGGTTGATAACCATCATATATTAGCTCCACAGAAGGTTGCTCAAATATGGTAAAATTACATCTTTAAGCACCTCCCCAGCGGGTCAGCCCCTCAATTTGTAAAAGTCTGAATTCCAATCATCTAATTATAAGCCTTAAGATGTTTTCATTCAATTTGGTGAAATTTTGTTTATCGGTTCATCAGAAGGAGTCACAGGCAGATACCACAGTATAGCATATATAGCTCATCTTTAGTGTTTAGGAACAGGTGAACTAGTTATCTCTTCCACTCTGACCACGAACAAAATTAATGTACACTATATTGCTCGCAATCATTTATACATGTGTAACACTTGTGAAACTAGTACTGGGTACATGGAAGCCAGCAATTTTATATATGAACTTAATACATCTGAGGTTGTTTTTCCATGTATAGAAAGGGCCAGGGAGAATATGTGAATGATACGGCCAACTCACTTGGTGTAATTTTAACTCCACCGGTAGCTATTGATGGGATACTGCCAACTGTTGGTCCATCTGCTTTGTTTCCCTTTCCATCTGCTTAAAAGAATAAGACATTATGGATTTAATCAAATACTCAACAATTATGCACATCGGAAGTTCTACGATTTCAAGTCGGACAGTTGAAAATTTGCCGGATTTAATTAGACATTTTGGTTGGTATCGAATTAAAGCAGCTCTTTTAGAATTCATATTCATTAGATGCAGTTTTAGACTGTGTTTTTCGCAAAGGAAGATTTCATTTCATGTAATTAATAAAGAAGAAATCACCTGATCATGAGAGCTGTTAGGAGAAGTACGTTTATATAGCATTCATATATTTGTAGATGAACATGGTCAATGTGATTCTAATAAACAGAGATATATATAATGATTTTAAAAAAATGCCTCTACATTCACAGTAAATGAAATGATTTGGCCCCTCAAGATCTTTATTTGCATGTGATTTATATTAGGCTTATTTAGGTATTAATTTTGTAATTTTATCATTTAGGAAATACAAGAGGCCCAATGGGCCTGAATCGCTCACCTGGTATTAATCTCACACTTGTAAACAGTTGAACTAGTGATATCTTCCACTCAGACCGTGATCAATGTACACTATATTGCTCGCGATCATTTATACATGTGTAACACTTGTGAAACTAGTACTGGGTACATGGAAGCAATCTTGGTGCAGCCATTTTATATATAACACTTAATACATCTGAGGTTGTTTTTCCATGTATAGAAAGGGCCAGAGAGAATATGGGAATGATACGGCCAACTCACTTGGTGTAATTTTACCTCCATCACCTGCTGATGGGATACTGGCAACTGTTGGTCCATCTGCTTTGCTTTCCTTTCTATCTGCTTAAAAGAATTAAGACATTATGGATTTAATAAAATACTCAACAATTATGTTATTAATAGTTGACTTCGATGGTGACTTATAATACAGTACACATCGGAAGTTCTACGATTTCAAGTCGGACAGTCGAAAATTTGCCGGATTTAATTAGACATTTTGGTTGGTATCGAATTAAAGCAGCTCTTTTAGAATTCATATTCATTAGATGCAGTTTTAGACTGTGTTTTTCGCAAAGGAAAATTTCATTTCATGTAATTAATAAAGAAGAAATCACCTGATCATGAGAGCTGTTAGGAGAAATACGTTTACATAGCATTCATATATTTGTAGATGAACATTGTCAATGTGATTCTAATAAACAGAGATATATTCAATGATTTTAAAAAATTGCCACTTCATTTACAGTAAATGAAATGATTTGGCCCCTCAAAATCTTTATTTGCATGTGATTTATATTAGGCTTATTTAGGTATTAATTTTGTAATTTTATCATTTATGAAATACAAGAGGCCCAATGGGCCTGAATCGCTCACCTGGTATTAATATCTCACACTTGTAAACAGGTGAACTAGTGATTTCTACCACTCAGACCATGAACAAAATTAATGTACACTATATTGCTCGCGATCATTTATACATGTGTAACACTTGTGAAACTAGTACTGGGTACATGGAAGCCAGCAATTTTATATATGAACTTAATACATCTGAGGTTGTTTTTCCATGTATAGAAAGGGCCAGGGAGAATATGTGAATGATACGGCCAACTCACTTGGTGTAATTTTAACTCCACCGGTAGCTATTGATGGGATACTGCCAACTGTTGGTCCATCTGCTTTGTTTTCCTTTCCATCTGCTTAAAAGAATTAAGACATGATGGATTTAATAAAATACTCAACAATTATGTTATTAATAGTTGACTTCGATGGTGACTTATAATACAGTACACATCGGAAGTTCTACGATTTCAAGTCGGACAGTAGAAAATTTGCCGGATTTAATTAGACATTTTGGTTGGTATCGAATTAAAGCAGCTCTTTTAGAATTCATATTCATTAGATGCAGTTTTCGACTGTTTTTTTCTCAAAGGAAGATTTCATTTTATGTAATTAATAAAATATATATATATATGTAGATGAACATTGTCAATGTGATTCTAATAAACAGAGATATATTCAATGATTTTTAAAAATTGCCTCTTCATTTACAGTAAATGAAAATAATTTGCCCGACAAGATCTTTATTTGCATATAATTTATATTTAGGTATTAGTTTTGTATTTTTATCGTTTATGAAATATAACCAACTCACCTAGGCCTGTCACAATGGTTTCTCCACTAGGTTTTGGGTTACCTTGACCATTTGCTAAAAAGATTAAAACCTTTATGACTATAAAACAAGCAAATTCCTGGAACTTATATCCCCCGCTTACAGGACAAATTGTAGGTAAACATTATTGAGGTTGCGTTTAGCCCTTAAGGCATTTAACCCTGGTACCAAGTTTGAACAAAATCGGTTAACATTTGTTGCACGGAAACAGCAGATAATGACGTTATTGCACGGAAACGAAACATGACAGACAGACGGACAAACCCAAATTAATATCCCGCGCTTTCACCGAAACGGGGGATATTAATTTGGGTTTGTCCGTCTGTAATAATAATTACCAAAACGTCATAAAGGTCATAAATCTACAATTGTATATACAATATAATATATACATATAATTTGGCCATCCACATACATGTAAACCTTTGGCCAATACTAGCAACACTATATAAGGCCATCATTAACAAATTGTTTGAATTTCACTTTTCATAAGTTATTCAGTGGGTAAGTAAGCTAGGATTTATTTTGTATTTTAAAAATCTCATATTTCTATGTGAAACCATAAGTGTCGGTGATTTTTCATCAAGGAGAAAACAATTACCAAAATATATTCTTTTTAGTAGGTGCCAATGTTCGGGAAACTACAAACTAATATTTAATGATGGTCTATATATGTACCATATCAATGGGGTCTTAATATGGTATATAATTTATCTTTGCTGATAGTGTCTACCTTTTAAATTTTATATAAATTTCATGCATTAAAGACTGTTAACATAATAGAGGTACATTTTGTACATGGAGGTAAAATGGGCCTTGATCATGACCCGGCTTAATCTGTTTAACAGCATTTAAGCAATAAATTGCAATGCAGTATACACTACTGTAGACGTTGCAGACCTACCAGGTATGGTTATATAATTATTGCCACATGTGTCACAAACTGAAGCAGTGTTAACGTTCTCCACAGGCTGTTTTAGCTAATGGCGGTCACCCTAATAGTGAGTGTCCAGGGAGGAATGAGTGTCCAGGGAGGTTTTCGCGCGCCCGGGAGTTCGTTATTTAACAATTTTTTACTATTTGTCAAAATAAATACTTTTGGTTGGAATGTTATTTTTTTTTTTTGTTCTCAGACATTTATTCAATTATTTCTATGATGATATTTTTGGGAAAAAAATGCTGAAGCATTTGGCAAAATTATCCATTTTCTTGAGTCAGACTATTTGTTTTGTAGGTATTAAAAAAATAATGATAAGGAAAAAGAAAAGGGCAAGAAAATGAACAATAATAATACAATGTCAAGATTAAAGTAATGCTATTTATTTAGAATTAAATATATATATAAAAAAAAAATCACTCTTGTTAAGAGTTTTCTTTTTCAAAGTGGCTTCACTCACGATTGATGGGTTGCGACGCGGAAATGGTTAGCAGCGCCTCGCTGTGATTGAAGGGTTAAGAAAAAAAGATGCCATAGCGAAACAGAAAAATTCTGGCGAGAACACTGTGAATGATACAAAATACCCTTATGTAACCATGTGTAATCTAGATCTATATATACATACAGGTACATACCTAGACCTTAAAAGGTGGTTTAGAAAACATTCACCACAATATACATTTACTCATTTGTGTGTGCAAGGACAACAGTCACTTAGTGATTATGGTGATGATATTGGATTTGTTTTCCTTTCAGAAACTCTGATTTGGAATTAAAGAGAACTTAATTACATTTTGGGAATAAAGTATGCCAAATTTGTATTGGGAATAGGAGCACTAATTATTGTACAACCCGATTTACAAAAGCAGGGGAAAGAACCTTAACAGCTAGTGATTTTTGTAAATTCTTTTCAGATGATTTAGTCTGTTGTCTAGATCTGTATAAAGTGACGTGCAGATTGACTGTCATCACCACTGTGTCCAGTTCAGTACAATGGCAGTTAAGTGATAATATAATGGCCCCATAATCCCTGGACGCTGTCTTTATACAGACTGTAGTTGCAGTGATTTTTAGGACGCGGATATTTGGAATTTCTGGAAATCTTTTTCAAAATTTTGACAATATATTTGATTATAATGTATACCAAGTTTTAAAGAGATTCGTTGAAAAATGTAGGAGGAGATTGCCGGAAAAAAATCAAATACTGAAATAAACAAAGGGCAATAACTTTTGCAAAAATTGTCAAATCAAAATTATTTTAGCCTACTACTGTAAGTTTCAAAGAAATCAGTCAAACAATTTAGGAGAAGAACTCCGGACAAAAATCAAATACTGAAATGAACAAAGTGCAATAACTTTTGAAAAATTGTTGAATCAAAATTCTTTTAGTGGAAACACAACTTCATATCATGATTATAATGTATACCAAGTTTCAAAAGAAATCGGTCAAAAAAGGTAGGAGGAGATTGAATTGCCATAATACTTCCGTCAAATTTGAAAGGCGTATACAAATGAAATTATTTGCAGTGTTAGTGTTTTATAGTACTTAATAAAACATAAAACATTTTCTTCATTTCCATAATTCTTTTCCTGTCTAAGATACATAGGATACATTAGAATGCATATAGTGGGGTCTTTTTTTTGGGGGGGGGGGGGGCTGTCCATGATTGCACGCCATCATGCGCACTTGTTGGGAACATATTTAAACTTGGCAAAACTGAATCAAGACCCAGAGCTAGCCCTGACAAGTCCCACAGGGAGAGCTGGAGTCCAGAACTCAAATATCAGAATCCCAAAAATCATTGCCACTACATTTATATGAAGACAGTGTCCAGGGATTATGTGGCCATTAACTGCCAATGTTGTCTGCAAAGAGTCTCTAGTGTACTGTATTTCATGTATTCGTGGAAGTCATTGATGTAGACGAGGAAGAGGATGGAGCCAAAACAGGTGCCTTGGGGGACCCCAGAGGTTACTTGTATTTTGTCTGATTGTTTGCCCTCGAGTACTACTGTTTGGGTGCAGAATGAGAGAAAGTCTGTAATCCAAGCGTGTGTGTTCACTGTTATCCCGTGATATTTGAGTTTGTATTGTAGTCGTTTGTGTGGGACTTTGTCGAAGGCTTTGGCAAAGTCCATAATGATGATGTCTGTCTGTTTGTTGATGTTGTTGTTTGATGCAAGATCATGTATATATGAATGTGGTGAGCTGTGTTTCATAGGATCTGGAGGATCTAAAGCCGTGTTGTAGGTCATATAATATGTTGTTGTTCTCCAGATGTGTCATTGTGGCGCTTGTTATGATGTGTTCCATGAGTTTACATGTGATGCAGGTTAGTGAAATTGGTCTGTAATTTGCTGGGTTGTCTCCTTTTTTGTATATTGGGTTTACGTTTGCGTGTTACCAATTTGATGGTAGTGTTTCTGTAGTGAGTGGGCGGTTGAAGATTTTTGTGAGAATGGGTGCTGTGATGTCAGTTAATTCTTTAAGTATTCTGCCATGTATATTGTCTGGTATGGGGCAGTCCTGTTCTGTGGTGAAGGCAGATTCAATGCAAATTGATTGTTAAGTATGTTTGCCTTGCAGGTAGTGTCAGTTTTTAGTTGTCCCTCTTTACGTAATGCGGTTTTGTCAGTGTTTTCTTTTCTTGTGGTCTTTATGTAGGAGAATAGATTTTTGGAGTTGAATTTTTTGCTAGCCGATCGCAAGGGTGTGCTGGGTTCGTCTATTGGTAGGTCTTTTATCATTGTTTCTATGTAGTTATGATATGTGTTGCCGGTTTGTTTTTGTAGTTCTGATTTTGCCAATTTGTATTTCTGTATAAGTTCATGTTTTGTTTTGCTTTTCATGTGTAATTGTTTACATTTTCTCGTGAGTCGAAGGAGAGAATGCGTTATCCAAGGGTGTTTGGATTTGTATGTGATGCGTTTTTGTGGGATGTTTTTGATGACTGAATTAGTAAGTATTGTTTTGAACATGTTCCAAAGATTGTCTGCAGTTTGGTTAGGTTGTTCTTTAAGTTTTGTGTTTAGAAGTGTGAGGTCGTCTCTTATGTTGTTCCAGTCAGCTTTGTTGTCGAGGTATATGTTTCTGGGTTATCTTCTTATTCTTTTCAGTCGAACGCCTATTTCAGTGTAGACTATGTAATGGTCAGATTTGCCTATAGGTGGTGTGGTTTCAGTCTTGTTATGATTGATGGTCTGTTTGTAAGTGTCAGGTCGAGAATGTGGTTTCCTCTGGTGGGCTTTGTCGCTATTTGTGTGAGGGAGTTGTTGTCTATGATGTCCAGAAGGTGCTGGTGAAGTTTTCGCTCTTGTTTGCCTGGTATGGTTGTGTTGTTTTGCCAGTCTATGTGTGGTAAGTTGAAATCTCCACTAATGTATGTTATTGTGTTGTTGTTTTGACCTAATCTGTTCATGAAGATTTCTAGTTGTTCTAGTGAATGTCCTTTGTCTGATGGTGGTCTATAATATGCTCCTATGGTGAGGTTGTGTGAATTTGTCATGGAGATGTTTACCTAAATTGATTTGTTGTCTGTTTCTTTAATCTGTTCTGTGTGGTATTTGTTTGTGATTGCAAGTAGTACAACTCCGTGGCTTTGGCCATTTTTATTTGGGTTGCGGTCTTTTCGGTAGACAGTGTACTCAGTGACTGGGAAGTATTCATAGGAGGATATTGTGTTATTCAGTCACGTTTCTGTTCCTATTATGATGTCTGGTTTGAGAGAGTGTATTATTTGGTCGAGGTCAGGTTGTTGGCATATCTTTGTCAATATTTACAATAGAATACAAAAACAACACTAACAGGACTGGGTCCTGAACTCATGCTTTCCTTGTGGGACTTCTTAACTTCTTGAGAACCCATTCTATGTCTTAGTAGTGGGATTCATCAAATCTTTTGAAAAAGAATTCCAGTAACGTTACTTGCATGAAAAAATAATTCGACGAAAATAACTGAAACTTTCTAAAAAAAACTCTGGTATTTTTTATTTGAAACGTGTTGTTACCCAAGACCAAGAATACAGTCGATTGTAAAAGCCTTTTAAGGCTTGTGTTTGGAATGCTGAACCATATGCACAGACTATAAATAACGATTACTTTACTTCAAACATACTTACCCATTGCGACATAATAGAGATAGAGATATTTGCAAAGACCTTCTTTCCCAGTACACTTGGTTTTGCATGAAGTATTTGCCTCGAGCTCAAACATACTACAAAATACGTCGACTGAAAACAATTTTAGTGTCGCCTCTTCCTTAATCAATTCCACAGGATATTTACACACCGTGTCTTGTGTTTTTTTTAACAGGTCACACAAGGCAACAGTGTCGACATCTGAACAGTTCACGTTTGAAAGAGTCAAATCCATTTCTGTTACAAGTTTGAAAGATGGAAAGGTACAATTCTTTTTGATGTATTGTGTCATAAATTCCCTGGGAAAGGATGCCGCTGAAGAATATCCCAGCAGAATAACACAAATAATGAACGACACTCCATGAATCATCTCCGCCATCGTGTCAGAATGCAAATCAGCTAGACGCTTGAATCGCTTTTAAGTACAGAACCAAAACGTGACGTTTAAATCCGGATTTCTATTTAGAAACCTAAACCTGAAACGAAATTAAAAGATGTTAGATGACAATAGACCCTGAAGTTACGAAGGAAAATTTCCTTAATAAAAACGTTAATTAAAACGTAGTGGGAACTCACAGTTGCTTGACCCGCAACGCTAAACAACGGGGGGAGGGGGAGGGGTTACGCGGGAATGCGTGATGGCGGTCTACATATCGCTGATGTGGCATCGTTGAAAGCTAGTTCAAGCTTGGTTACTCATAGCAGTGAAGAAATGTCTTTAATATTAATGTGATTTAAATTTTAAAACCATTCCACTCGTTTGTTCCCATCACGTGTAACAGTTAGATAAAAATAGGGTTGAGCCCTTGCATTGTAAAGTTTGCATAATAAACACAATCACTATATAGCTAGAGTTGATTCTATTGATGTATAGTATGCAGTGGCGGATCCAGAGACCTATCTGGGGGGGTTTCCATGTTGGAAAAAATTGAGGAAAATGGTGAAAATATATGATTTTTAAAGAAAATTCTCACGGTGGGGGGNATTTTCAGGGGGGGGGGGTTTCCTGAAGCCCCAAAAACCCCTCTGGATCCGCCACTGAGTATGGTACTGGAATGAATTGACCCACTCGTAATACCACAATGATGGGTTGAATTTCCTCGGGTGATTTCTCCAGCACTTGTCAGTTTAGTCTTTCCTTGAAGCAGTTTAAGCTCGGTGCTGATATATATACCACTTCCTCTGGCAATAAATTCCACTGTATAATAATACGATTGATGAAGAAGTTTCCTGTCCATCATGTGGCACATTCTGTTGATACACTGTTGCAGTCTAGCTCGATTTTCTGGGGTTGAATTATAAGCTGACATTTTAGCATCATCTGCGAATAGTTTTGTAGTACACTCCAATACATCTGGCATGTCATTGATATATATACACTCCATTGTGGGACCCCGCTTAGTGCTGACAGACTCTTTGAGGGAGTTCCATTGATTATGACTTGTTGTGATAGGCCTGTCAAGAATGCTCTAATCCAGTTTAAGATTTGTCCTTTAAATTTGATCCCACATTTTTCCAGTTTGTAGATTAGGAGTCTATGACACACTTTGTTAAAGGCTTTGCTGAAATCCAGGTAGATTACGTCAACGTTTTTCCCCTCGCCAAGTGTCTTGCTCCATTCTTCCAAGATTTCTAATAGTTGAGTGGTGAATGATTTTCCTGGACGGAAGTCATGTTGGTGTTTGGTATGTATTTCATTTCCTTCCAAGTAAGCCATTGATTCGTTTCGGATATTTTTTTTGTAGAATTTTGCATGGAACCGAGGTAAGACTATTTGGGCGATAGTTTCCTTGGTTGGTTTTGGTACCCCTTCTAAATATCGGTGTAACATTTTTGATTCTTTCCAATCTTTCGGCAATGCACCCTCATCTATTGACTTTTTGAATATGATTTGTATTGTTTTGGCTATTGCATCGCATGTTTAAAACAATGAATTTTGGGTGTAGGTTGTCGAGTCCAGGAGCTTTGTTGGGGTTAGTTGATTTTATGGCCGTAATAACGTTTTCTTGCGTCAATTCTATGGATTTCAGTGAATTTTCGTGGGTTCTCTCCCTTAGTTCTGGTGGCTCGCGGTTGTCATCCTGAACAAATACACTAAAGAATAATTCCTTCAATACATTTGCAGTGTCTCTACTATTTTCTGTCAGTTCTCCGTTGTTCTTAACTAATCTTTGCATCGTTGTCTTGATTTTGGTTTTATTCCTGACATGTTTCCAAAAGAGTTTAGGGTTCAGGGGCGTTTCTAGGATATTTGAAAGAGAGGGCGTAGAATCAAATCTTTCGCCGAGCGGAGCAAGGCGAAAAAAAATTGGACCTTTTTTTGCTAAAAAACATAAAATAATTGTGAAATGCACTAATGTAACGGTTCTTGACTTGAAGCATGTATATTTTATAGTTAAAGTGTCAGAGTATGTGTTTAATTAATGAATATGATAAATTGCCATATTCAATACAATATTAGCAGATTACGATATTATTTTATCTTATTTATTTTTTTGAAAAGGGGGGGCGTACGCCCATTACGCCCTCACCTGGACCCGCCCCTGGGGTTAGTCTTGATTTTCTTAGACAGATCTTTTTCGTAGTTATAGGTTGACTTCCTTGATAATATGATGTATCTATTACTAGCGGATTTGTCGTTTTCAAAGTTGGTAGGTGTTTAACAATGAAGGTATAAAGTCCACTTCCGAGCCTTTTCCTTTCTTGCTTCATGGGCAGTTTGGTCCAGACACGATGAACTAGAGGCTGTGGAGTTACTTCCCTTACTCTCGGGTATACATTTTTCAACAATGTTGTTGAGGGATACAGTAAGAGATTTCCACGCCTTGTTCACATCCTGTTTATGTTCAATGTCCGTTAGGTCAAGCTTGAGGATTTCGGTGTTGATAGTGGGATAATCAACTTTGTAAAAGTTCTTCCTGTTTGTGTTTGATGTCGGTCCGTTGGTTTGTTTAGGTAACAAACATAATCGAATATTAAAATAGCACGGTCACTTTTTCCAAGACTCTCCTTGTAATGCAGATTGTTAACCATATTCTCTTCGTTGGTAAATATTAAGTCTAGAGTCGACGGGGTTTGCTTGTCACGATATCTTTTAGGCTCATTAGCATGTTGGTACCAATAGTTGTCCATGGTAGTTTCTAAAAACTTGCTGGCTGGGTGGTTGTCGCCTACTGTAGTAGTCTTGTTCTCCCAATCGATTTCTTTGTAGTTGAAGTCACCAACTACCAGTATGTGTGTGGCATGGTAGTTTCCAATATTGCGCAGAACTTAAATGACTTTTTTGTTGTTGTTTTCTGTACTTTTTGGACTTCTGTAGATTCCATGAGTTTATTAGTACATGTCACGTGTTCTATGCAGCTCTCCTGTAACTCCACTTCGTGAGTAGTGATACCCTTGTTTACAGTATATTGCCACCCCTCTTTTGTTGGTTGGGCCGAAATACAAATCATACTGATTTAGTGTGTGCACTTGCAGGGCAGTTTCGGTACCTAGGTTTTTTGGTAGAACTTCAGTTAAGCATAATTATGATGTCTGGCGAGTGGGAACGGATGTGTTCTTCTAATTCTATCTTTTTGTTGGTTGTCAAAGTATCTGCGTTGCTATAAAATACCTTGAGGTTTGTTTTGTTGGTGAAGTTATTTGTTAAAATTGTTTTTAAACAATGATCCTATACATGTTCGACACTGGTTTCTTCACCTTCGCTGTCGGATAATGCTGATAATGTGTCGTTAAGACAATATATCATAGTCTCGTCCCCATTGTCCTTCTCGAAGGATTGTATGTTTTAAGGTTGGGTAAGTTGGAGGTTCAAGGGGCGAGGGATGTCTGTGACTTGAGTGATTTTCACTTTACCAGCTATTTTCATTAAGGTACCTAATCTGGTTTTATGATGAGGAGCCGGAATTGGTGTGAGGTGTGGAGCAGAACCGACGGCGGGTCGATCCCCAAACATCGGCTGCCCACCCTCAGTTAACTTCATCGGTGTAAATGCCGAGGCATGAGGGGTGCCAATGGCGGGTCGATCCCCAAACAAGGGCAACCGCCCAGCTCGCATTAGGTGAGGTGGAAATGGCATGGGTTTAGGCGCGTCTCTTTTCGGTGTGTCCCCATCATTTATTGTACCATCCTGCTTATCTGCTAGTTTGTCCCTCCTTTCCTATCTCTGCACTTTGGTCAGGGCCCTTGTTACCGCTACTTTCTTTAAGTTGTCAGGGACTTTTGTTGTCATATCTCTGGATTACTCTAGATTGTTTTTGCGTTGGTCTTTTCTTCCTAGTACAGCAACTTCATCTGAATGAACTTCGTCTGATAGTAGACTATAAGAGACTTTTGTTGTTGTGTGGTTTTTGTTGCTTTTCCTGTTCTTGAGCATGTCACAGGAGAAACGTGGCACCTTTACACATATCGTTTTGTTAAGGTCTCGAATCTTCTCATTTAAAATTGTTATTCTTGATTCCAACGACTTAGTGTTTTTTCCGGAAAGTCATGACATCAGGTGATATACAAAACCATACTAAAGATGTTTATACATGTCATCTGTACTTATTGAGTGATTTCTTCTGTACCATAATATGCATTGTTTAGTTTTCAGCTTCTTTTGTAAAATTGTAACAGGACTGTCAACCAATTAAAGGTTTAATTTGGTTGGCCTCATGTTCCTCTGTTTAATACACTAAGTCAACCGTTAACTCACCGTTGTCGACGTCATACCATTAGTCTACGACTACAACGCATCTGGTACTCTTATCACAACTCTTAAAATTCCAAAAGAACACTCAATGTAAAACAGTCAACTACTCCTTTATAAGCAGAAGACCCCTTAAAAGATTACCTATAACATTACAGTCAACTGTAGAACCAAACAGGAACAAGTAATAAACAACTCAATGCTTTCGTTACTCAGAGTCAAAGTTGGAACGTTTGTCCAACTCTGATTTACAAACGTTCAGTAAATGTTGTTTTGGCAATTTGCATAACAGTTAGAAATAATATATTTATCTTATTCTTCATTCTCTTTTACATTACAGTATTCTATACATTTATTTCATTGCAGGACTATTATTCTAAAAAACACATAATCAAGACATGAGCATGTTTCATCACATTAGTTACAATATAACCTTTATACACATTTGTACAAGTAACAGGGGAAGCAACTCTGGATCGTCCCTTTTACAAAATTTTCTGGTAAAAATATCTCACCGAGCATGCATAAAATAGTGTATAATTTTTGATGATTTATTCAGAAGGGATCAGCCTACAATTACATATCATATAGACATATTTCGTACTTCATTTCACATGTTTAGAGTAACAAACATATTTGAATTGACAAACTGGAAGGTTACTATAAGCCCTCCAAGCGAAGGTAGGCACGTGTAGATGTTCAAAACGCTCTTCATTTCCTGATCTGTCGTCAAACAGGCCTCCGTGGCCTCTGATTGATTGACACAATTGTAGGTGTACAACAAGGTAATGCCAACGGTCCATCTGTTTGTCTTATTTTGCTCACATTGTGTAGCTTTATTATGGAATTGTACATTCTCTCCAATGTACCCTCTGCGGCTGTGGGGTCATTTTTTAAGGGGGCCGCGGTGGCAAGGTGGTTCTGACATTGTGCTACCACTAGCCCTCCACCACTGGGTCGCGGGTTCAAGGCCTACGTGGGGCTGTTGCCAGGTACGGGCCGTTGGTCGGTGGTTTTTCTCCTGGAACTCCGGCTTCCCTCCACCAACACAACCTGGCACGTCCTTCAATGACCATAGATGTTAATAGGACTGTTATTGCTTAATAGGACTACTAAGTGAACAGAAGAAACATGTACATCACTAACAACAGGTATTGTTTAATAGGACGTAAAACAACAAACAAACCAAACCAAGGGTCAGTTTCAAGGGGAATCTTGTAACGGTCCTCGTTTAATTAAAAATTGCTACCAACATTGTATCCAACTATTTTTCAGCAGAAGAACTTTAAACAACCTAGTTAACAGATTCATGTGTTTCAGAGGTTTTCATTCGAAATATTCAATTTAAGTATAATATGGTTCTTTTTCTTTCTTCTAATGCGACAGCATCTTCATTGGCGAGATTGGTGTAATATAATCTATTTTATAAGTCTTTTGGATAGCCAAGGGAGTCCCACTAGATATATCGATGAAGTAAGCATCTTGTTCGTAAACCGGAACCGGAATTAAATTCAAAATCTCATGTAGACGTTGGTCGATACCCGAGGTAAATCTAGGGTGTCTCCTCTTCCTTCCTTCCAATTTGTGTGAGAAACAAGCCATCCGAGGAGTTCCGAATGTACCCGAAGTCGCATTTTCACATGACTTCAGAGAAGTAATCGACCTGTTAGCTTCATTGGTCAGTTTCAAGTTTCACCGATAAATGAAACTTCGATATCGGCTTTTTACATGAATAATTATTGAGGCTTTTTTCATTTGAAGTCAACCAGATGTCAGATTGATTGACACGAAAATTAGTTAACCAATCCATGCCCTTTGGTTTTTTAACACACATATGGTGCAACGGGGAAGCTTGTTGCTGAGCTGAATCTGGCGTTGCGATTATTATCAACATAAAAACAAAACGTCAACAACAAAGCGGTCGATGATTATATTTGAATAAAATAATACAAATCAGGTATAAATATATATTTTTTTTAAATTATTTTTATACAAAATACAGGCAATGATAATGAATGTGTTGATATGTGCTATTTACATATTAAGGTTTGACTTGAATCTTTGTGGCACATGTTGTCCGTTTGTGACGTCATTGGTGTTTATCGTTGTATAGACAGTCATCTCCATGGTAAGTGCTGATTGGTTTATTGATGGGTGTTGTAAAACCGTTGTCGTTAAGATATTGCGTGACGGTTGCTTCGTGATCACGCTTGAATTCATCAGGGTCTCTGGCTAACACGAATAGTGTCGCTTTTAGGTTATCACTCACTACCGCGTACTGGTATTGGTTATTGGGTCCGAACGTGGCAGGCCCAAGCTGAACAACCCAGTCTGAAATGACAACAAAAAATAACGTTATGCTAGCACGTGTTCAAAGAACCTAAGCATATTTTATTTCGAAGAACGTGAAATGGAAAAATATCAGCCAAAGTAAGTTTTATATGAAAACCATAGAAAAACAACATAGTGAATTAGGATGTTTTGGATGGTAAACGTCTTCTTCTTCTTCGTCGACGATGCCCGCCATAGTACATGTATAGTTTAAACATACTTATTACCAAAAGTAGACAAGGGATAAGGCACAAGTTATAACAACTTATCGACACCTTCTCCCAATATACATTTTAAATGACATTACAATAATGACAATAAGTATATACAATTGCAAATACAATTTGTGCTCAAATCTCTTGCTGGGTTTAATAAAGTTGTGCAAATATCTACAACATATTTGTGTAAAGGTCCACGGAAAATTGGGAATTGCCAAACAAAATTATTTCTAAACTTAACGAAATATTCAAATTATTTAAATAATGAACCAAAATGAGTCTTTCGTTTGTAAAAAGTTGACGTTCCAAAACCAAATAGAATATTTGCCAATAGGAAGTGATTTCAAAATAACACACTTTCTATTAATCATGGAACTCTTTTTTCCGTCATTTATGTTATATGTCTATGGCATTCATCGTGAAATACAATAGAAGTCACACTAAGTCAAACTACACGTGGTCATATGCAAACAATTATAATATGGATGCATTCAATAAATAATAAGGCACACGCGTGATAAATTCATGTACATGTATGTAAATATTGTACCTTTGGCATATTCCACAAAGTTGGAACTGATTTCCAACAGAAATATTTATTTCCAGTTCGTGATTCAAGGGCCAGCCAGCAATGACACATAATACAGGTACATATACTTACAAGGCGCACTGAAGGCAACGGTCTCCAAATGAACGCTAAGTTTTCCAACCTCTCCGGAAGGCGTGGCGTATCCATGGATGATTTTGGCACTTCCATTTCCGTTCTTTAGTCTCTCCGAATTAAGCACAATGATTCTACCAGAACCGTCAGTGGACATTGTATCTTAAAATAACAAACGTAAACATGCAAATGTACACAGACCGGGATAAGAAATAATTCCTCATATGCCCCAAACAGAACAATAAACAACTTTATATTCCAGTAAAGGCTAAACATTGTTATAATGTTAGAAGTAAACCCGATTGAATACATTTCAATGGGTCAAAATTATTCACGATAGAAGATATATCAATTATTATTAATAATAATAATAATAATAATAATATACAACATCTCTAAAGCGCCCTATTTAATTTGTAAAATTACTCTAAAGCGCTTTACAACATATGGATAATAGTGATAGTTATAATTGTGAACCAAAATTAAAGGCTTACAATCACTTTTATACATTTAAGCAGCAATGTGCACATAATTGAACACATAAAGGGTGGTATTTACATGACGTCGAATGTTATATAGATGCATTCACCAAATAATAAGGCACACGCGTGATAAATCCATGTACATGTACTATTAAGATACCTTATCAACGCCTTTGCAGTGAACTAAATAAGTATGGGGGGAAATATGGGTTATTAGATATTGCCTATGTAACCGTGCATGTTATGTAAAATATAAAATAACACACAAGGAAAACAAGGGAAACAATTGTAACTCGAATTCGATATGAAACGTCAATGGAAAAACCCCGAAGATATACGAAAACAAATCAGAAAGACATAATGAAATAGCTGGAAAAAAACGAGGCAGAACCAGGGGTAAATGTCTTGCATGCTGATTTGCTTCTTTGGTAATATACAATCGACAAATTGTGTGCTTTATTATTTTCTATGTCACTGAAGATATGATTGATTTTACTTACAATCGGCGATGACACAGACTGCCCCTCTTTCGAATGTGGCAAACACCGACTGGCTGGCAAACATCTTTGGATAACAGAAAAAATCAATGTTATTTTGGGTGTTGTTAAATAATTCAAAATCATTATACTCCGAGAACAGATTTTAATTTAATCAATAACAACAGACATCAAAAACGAAATTATATTGCAAACTAGTATGCTACTAGTATATATTATATCCATTGCTACGAACACCATAGGGGAACCATGATAAAATTTGACAGCTTTTTCAATAATTGTTTTTTAATTACAGAATAAGCTAACTTTAATCGTAGATAATAACATCTTTGTATGTTCTAACGATTACTTGGAAAATGGTTTGAACATGTTTGTGAAAAATTGTATAAAAAAATCAAATCAAGACAAAACGTTAAAAAGGTTATCAGGTAACGAGAAAAAAATCATTAACAGTGACGTCACTGAAAAAAATGTTTGGGGGAATAAAATATTTGTACTGAAAAAAAAATAAAGAAAAAAAATAAACCACACAGTGACGTCACATTTTGTCTGTAGTTACCTGGTACCATCGTCCGAGATATTTAGAGACGTCCAATTCTGTTACAGTGTGTACATTGGAATCAAGTCCAAACGTATCAAGTAGAAAAGCTGAAATAGCTGGCGCCAGCAAAACTATTAGAAATATACGGTTCATTTTGTTCGACTTCTGATAAAGGCAATCCGTTAAACAAAACTTAAAGTATGACATACTGTGTGGATTTGCCACAGCTTTATATAAATTATAAATGTTATGTAAAATTGAACACGTGATACTCTACGGTCATAGACCACGTGTTCAATACGCACAAAACGTGTACCACACACATGTCAAATACCGAATTTTAAAATCTGTTCTTATGATAGTATGTCAATATACAGAGTTTAATCATCGAGGTGCTGTTTTCAAACGTACGTTTTAATGCACACGTGTTTGACTGACGTTAACCTTTCTTGTCGTTTGTCCATGCATGTGTTTATGCTACTTTTCTGTAAATTTGTTGAACGCATTCCATCAGTATAAAGCAAATGATGAAATAAACACTGGCTTCCTATTCAGCAGCCACATTGTTAATTAGAATGTCTTAAAATCACTCCCAGTAGATTCAGATAAAAATAATATATTTCAAAAACCTGGATTTATTTCTGTCAAATATCTTACGTCAATTATTATAGAAATATTTGAACGCATGGAAAGGAACGTGACTGTTACATAGAGAATGACAGAGATAAGGTCATTGTCACACGTGCGTGACAACAGGCGATAGGTGTAATATACAGATAAATCCAGGTGTCCATTTCTTGTTGAACCCTACTTAAAATTACAACGGTAAGAGAAGTTTTTCATACAAAAGAATTTCTACTTTAAACAAACAATCATATGAACTTTTAAGTTGTAGAGTAACGTTATAAAGAGTTTCATTAGCAGCTTTCCCCCATTTTACTGTATTTCTACATACGCTTCGAAATACTTTTGACACGAAATTTCGTTATTTCTATCTTTAATACCACTAAAAGGAATGAGATGGCCATATAATGTCTTTGATTTGCTTTCTGCGTCTACTTTACAATATTTAAATGGGTGCGTCTTACTTTGTTCTGCTAGTGATATTCTTGCATCACCAGGTGACTCTGCCGATGGATTATCAGTCCTCGATGTTGGTCTTAACCTTACATATATAACTAGAAATTGTTCTGGAACAGTGTACATGACATATTAGTAAAAGTAAACATAATATTATAATATTTGAAATCATGAAATAAACATTGGCTTCTAGATATAATATATAGACTTATACTACAGTGATATTCCAAACAAAAGCATTAACTACGTTAAGACTCGTCTCCAACGTAGGGCAATTTATGGTGACGTATTCACATGACTTGGGAAAGCTGTTTAAAAAAAACACACAGTTTATTTGTTTTTTGGAAAAGTTGCTTTTAAAAACATTTATGATGGAGGGTTAAAACTGAATACAGACACCTGGATTTACCTGTATGTTTCATAGAAATCCTGTATTAGTATAATAGACGTAAGATATTACAGCCACTTAAAATAGTAAAGTTTTAACGTTAAACATGATGTAAAGGGTTTTGCAAGCCACTTACCCCTTATGCTGTGCATCGTGCATGTATGTCTAGTTATGTTTTGTAATTTTTTAGACATGGATATTAACTCTTTTGACATTTACTAACACTGATGAGTCCTAAATTGACAAAATGGCCATATGGTGCAGAAAAGGTTTCTTGTTTGGCTATCTGGAACGACATAATAAACATTTGTTAAATAGGTGCTCCCTTGCCTTGTGTTTCTGAATGTGTTACTTAAGTTATGAAACAAAAAACCATTAACCTTGTAGCAACTGGTGGTATTGCACTAGACAGTGATTTATGGGAAATAAAATTGGTGTAGGAGATGACAACTCAAAACAACCAGATCTTTTGGAAAAGATGAAAATATTTCATTTAGCATGGGAATAAATCACCATAAATCGTCCTAGATCGGAGATGAGTAATATCGTAAGGATTGTGTTTGCAATATATCGTCATTTATAACATGACACAGCTATCAATTTGTTTTCTAATAGAGTGAAATATACTGTATATTCCTATTAGGATTTTATTGAAAGCACGGAACAAGTTTATCAGCCTCACTTAAACGGAGCGATCTCTACATATGTGCATTTTACATGCATTTTACGACTCGGCTTTGCGTCCTACTACATGTAACATAACAATGAAAACCAACAATGAAATACCAGCTATCTTTGTGGCAGACCATTTCCTTACTTACTACATCGAGCTTTCAAATAATGAAAAATTCTTAAAATTCTCTTAACAATTCCACAACATCATTTGTGCTCTCTTAACAATCTCTATACAAAAATGATCCTATGTAAATAGCCTATACCAATATATAGCGAATCATTTACTGTTTACTCAATTCTCATATACGAGTGTTAATAAATATTATATTTATAACATTAATTTATGTACAATAATTGTTTATCGATGTATATAACTGATATATCTATATCAATATTTAATAATTTCATTACAGGGCGTTGATTTATCAAAAAAGCGTTGTTCTTCTCTTATCTATGGTGTTATTTTCGTAGCATGCAAAGGGTTGTTTTCAAAAGTACTTATTTTATTACATTTCTGTTTTTACATGTAAAGTGCATTCGTTCTATAAAATATAAAAGAAGGGATCGATTCGTAATTGAATACGTATCAGATAATTGGCATCAAATGGGTATAGCTCCTGTCATTTCAAAGTGTAGAACGAACAGGTGAGACACGATCTCTTCACCCTCGAGTCTCCTGGCATGGCCCGTCACTACAGTATCACGTTGATCTTCACCTGACCCGATAACAAAGGCAGTCAATAGTCGGGCCGATACGGACGTGTTTACGACCATAAAGATAAACCTAATTAGGGACCACGTAGTCAGAAGCGTTTTTCTGTTTACCAGTAATGTCATAGGCTTCAAATTCATGATGTATTTCTGTTTATTTTGGTGTCCTCTCTCCAATCTTTTTTTTCCGTGTCGATTTGAGATTCGAAATTGTCATTGTGTGTTGTCGCTTATGATAAGTTGTTTTCTTTAATATTGCAACACAAAAGATGGGCCTTATTACTGCGGGGTCATTTTTAATAAATCCTAACACAGAGACACTTAAGGTTTCAGTATTCATTAAGATGACGCTATTTTAACATTATCTGAAAATCAACTAAAAACCTTTCATTTTTCAGTCTACGAAACGCTTTAAGTTCATTCCTCGATGAAATTTCTTCTGAGAAAACAACACGTCATAGGCATATAAAACAAATAGAAAAGTCAAGCTTGTAAAGCTGATCTTTCCTGACTGATAATGGTCATAAGTAGTGCCTAACGGTTACCTTCAGGTTCTCGATAGATCACACTTAAGTCATAGCATTCACATATCTTAATTATTAAGTTCAGATTCGTTATAGTGCCAGCAGTGTTCTAACGAACCTGTTGGTATTATAAAGAGGTTTGCCATTGTACGGTATTGCATCCTCCTATGTACCATGGCACAACATCCACCCATATACAGGTTTGCCTCTTGTTTGAGTCATCCTTTTATCATTCGCATCTTTGTAATCGAGTTGTCGAACTAACTGCCAGTCAACGGCTTGGCCGAGGCGATAAGGCTGTGGTTTACGACATCAGCGATACGCATAATTAAGGCGAGGATTGTCCATACAAACGAAGCGATGGTTGTCAGTGGGCTATTAAGTCGGCTTGTCACAATTGTTTCTGATTTTATCCTCCTTATTTCTCCATCTTTATGAGAGCACTTTCAGTGCCATTCGGATATCTCTAAATTACACGTCCTAGTTATTGTGCATCGTAAAATACCCGGATATCTGTAAATACATCCCGATGATTGGTAGAGTACCCGGATGTTTGGAAAAAAAGGAACAGCTAGTTTCAACAGGACAAATTCAGTTTCTAGAAACATGGACAATTGTATCGGTCAATTATTAAAAAGTATATAACTACATTTAATTATACAAAAATACCCAGAGTCATGTCAAGATTATCGGGTAAGATTTTAAGACACACCAAAGCCATAAGGAAAACATTTCAAAAGAAATGGATATTTCCAATGGCTGAGAGAGGGAAAATAAGTGAAGTGACAATGCATACCTTTTTGAGTAATTATGACGATATCTAAAATGATCTAGAAATACTAAAATATGCCAGTCGACACTAAAACTATCGCTCTAAAGAGAATGTTTATTGTTTAAGGGATTCAAGATACACTGTACCTTTCTTTTTGTATTGCTCTTTCCTCACTTCCGGTTGTTGTCTTCGTGTATTGATTTGCGTGCTCTGATTTCGCCCTTGTGTGATGTTACTATGGTATCTGGTATAAATATATAGAGGTTCCATAACGAGTATTAGCTGGTAATCATGCTATCTAACTCTAGTTAATTAATTTCCAACTTATTCAAAGACACGAGGTTTATTCAAGTGTATTTTTAAAAAAATGAAAATGAACTTATGAGAGTTAGATAAACATGATAGCCAGCTATCACTAATTTAAAAAACTACAACATATTTTTCGATCGGGGAAGCAATTGCCAGGAATTCTGACGTCACAACGGAAGATACCGGTTTCAATTATTGTTATGTGACGCCTTCATTGAAAACGACCATTTAAGGATTGAAAATACGCATTCAGCGAGAACAACTTTATCCTGGATGACTTGCGTATGTTCTCAGCAATTACAACCACGTTCACAATGGTCTTTCTATCTTCTGTCGTCAGGTCTCTTTTCCTTGCTGCGTCACGTTGTTTTGCTATTTGTTTTATTGAAATCAATGTAAAGATACATGCAACATCTTTGAAATTAGGGATCCCCATACCACTGCTAAAATTGTAACTTTACATTGGAAGTGGGATTTTTTTCTGGTATGACTATAGTTTTTGCAAATCTTTTCGGGGGCTATACTTTTCGGGATATTCATGAATAAACGAACGAATAAATGAATAAATAAATGAATGAAAATATAAATAAATAACCGTTTTCTGTATGAAAAAAATATCAGTAGGGTTTGACCAGGAATCGAACCGTGAACGTAAAATTGTTACTGTACACTGCCTTACTAATTGAGGAACTTGGCCAACGGAAATACACTTGTCTAATTGCGCCACAGTTATTGCCAAAACAAAATAAGGGGGGAGGTTACTAAATATACAAAAAAAATCACTGCAGTTCTCAAATGGTGTGCCTGCAGTGAGATGTTGATAGAAACACTTATCAACAAATCTGAATTTGGCTATTATTTTCATACATTGAATTTTCCTGAAATGTCTTTCCCTGAAATCGACATTTCTATCATTTATATTCTAAATGCACGATACGAATTTTTCTTACAGAAACAAATCTTTGAGTCGATAGAAATTTAAACATGTTAAAATATAAACCAAAATAATATCACACCCGGTATAGACAATATACAGCTCCTAGGGTTAAACCACTTTATTATACGGCGAAATCTGCCATAAACGTCACTTCTAAAAACCGTAAAGTCGATGTTTCCAATCCCCTACGGCGGTTGTTATATTAACGTTTAACGACCGCATATTACAATGTTCTGGACAATTTTATAACTGAACAACTCGTAAACCGTTGTTTTGTTACGAGGTAGGAGTTGCATGAACTACCCAACAAGTGTGATAAAATTCCAATGAAAAATCTGGGAAATTGTACCATTAACCTATTGCCTCGTCAGGGAAGCCGTTCAACCCACCTAAGCATAATTGTTTTAATGATTGGACTTCGCTATTTGAATTACCATTATATATTCCCATCAAATCAAACCAGCATCACCTGCCGACAATGGTATTGTTACATATTGATTACATTAGCTCATGTTGCAAAATCCGCCGAAAGTATTACTGTACCCAACACAGCGTTGGCATTCTCTGTGGCTGATGCTGAGATACCGGACACGCCCTGACTCTGTTCAGAGAGGCGGCAAATTGGCCGGACGCGATATATAGTGACATGTTTAGGACGCATTGAAGGGATACCAGACACCTTACAGAGATCCAGTAAACCTCGGAAGTAACTGACAAACATGTGTTGTGAAAAACCTGGTGGAAACTTGTACATTCAGTTTACCTGGATAGTGATTTCTTGTTAAGGAAGGCATATTCCAAAGAGACGTGTATTTCGAGGAGATATGAGTGTGTACGTGTTCCTATGTCCCGCCTTATCATTACTCATCACGGAAGGTAAGCTGTTCCTTAACTTGCTATGCTGAAACAAGTTCTTAAATATTTCTTTTCATCAACTCATTTCGAATTATTTTTGTTATTGTACGGGTTTGCTCCGAAATATATGTTTTTTTATCCTAAAATGCATTGCTCGTTGATATGGAATGAATATATTTTGTTAAATGAGTTATCGTACATCTGTAAGAATATTTATTAATCCATTCATACATTGATTAACTTTATATAATATATAAGTAATGTAAAAGAAAACCAACAAAACAAACAAGACCAATATAGTCTCCTTCCATTTAGGATTAATTGATGTTTCAATCTGAAACTCAAAGTTTTCTTGAAGTTTAGAGTGTCGTATTTCACAATGCAAGTGTGTTCATGATTCAGTGAACGCTGATGGTTCTGCTATTTTACGCGCTTGCAAAACTTATGGCAACACAATATCAAACGTGGTATTCAGTATAACACAAATTGACATGGAATGTACTGAACATTGTTTCCTTTATAAACCATTCGAGCAAATAAAGTAACACTTGAAGTTGTGTGTTATCGAGCTTATCTAAAAAACAGGTATTATGAGTTTTGTTATGGAGTATGGATTCATGAACAATGGGTAAGGAAAGCAATCTGGGCGTTTATGCCAATATATAATCAATAATTATCATAGTAAGTGATCGTTTACCTGCTTTATCCCACTGCATGATCGTATGCAAAACTCTTTCCAGAAATGATTTATAGAGTTTATATAGAAACAAATGTTTCCAATGCATAATTACAGTGATGGAACGTCGGACGGGCATCATTGATTATGTTGAGGAAATTAACAATTCGCTTATTATTAATAGGTATATATCTGTATTAATGATGGATATACCTCCTTTTTCCCACTGCATGATCGTATGAGGCAACTAATTTCTATGACAATTCATAACTGTCGTTTGTTCACACGACAGCAGGACTGTTGAGGGAAGATATTTAAGTGTTTTCATTGCAGCACTTTAGGTGGTGATTATTCTATGACGTCTCGTTTAGTACCTGTTGTAATATAAATTGGACAAGCATGTTAAGACCCTCACGTCAGATTTTAGCTATCAGATACACAAAGTGTAATGCATACGCAGAATCTGTTGATACATTACATCGTGTTTTAATATCTAAAAGGCATTTACAACCACAAGAATGTTTTATTGACGCAGAAACAAAGGACATCTCGGTGGTGTCGAAATGTTCCGAAACATTTGTAGAAGAACAGCAGAAGGTTAATAAATAGTTACATCGTTACAAATTTACAATTTAAGACTAAAACAGATAATTAATTTTTAAACTAGTAATTAATAAAATCGTCCCAGAATTCATTCAATCGAATAGGTAACGACCAGCCTTGGAAACCGATAGTCGAGCAGCAACTCACCCTTGTAAAATAATCATGTTATTAGTGTAAAATACTGCAAAAGTGGACATTTTTGTGGGGTGGAAATTTGTCGTTTTTTTGCATGGAGGAAATGAGCGCTAGAATATCCACCAGTAAATATGTATCGAAAGATTAAATAGATAATAGATATACAGAATAATTAGATTTCAGAACCATTAACAAAGCTTAACCTCTCAAATCGTGATCAGTTTAAAAAAGTACAAAGCTAAAATGTTCTGCACGCGAAATGTTCCATATTTACAGTATGCATGGATACTTTGATGACTTTGGTTTTGCACATGCTTAATTTTGCAATAATCAAACTATCTGTACACATTTGTGAGGTTATTAATAAGCTATTCAATGATCATGTATGTATCTTGTTTTGTACATATAATTGTTAACGTGAAACCTGAATTTACGATCAATCATGATGCAATGCATGTACGTAACATAGATTGTCACAAGCAATACTTAGTATATTTATATTGCATTCATTTGTTTATGTAGCGTCTGGATTTCTGTATTGATCTTTTGCCTTAAGGACCACTGTCTACTACAGGCAAAGCACTAACTACCAGTAACATTCACTCAATTTCATTGTTGGATTTAAATGTTATGCGACAGGGTCACCAGGTTATTTCTGTTGATTTCATCTTCACATCCTATTTATAAAAACTCAGCAAGGTATAGTTTTCTATTCATAAATGCGTAATCAAAGTTATAGCCGTGCTGGAAAAAGGTTTCCAATGGATAATTACAGTGTTTGAAAGTTGGACGGGGATCCTTATTTACGTCGAGGAAGTTAACAATTAGCACATTATTTAATAAGTATATGTCTGTATTAATATACATTACATTCCGTGCTATAGTGGCTCAATAAAATCGGTGCTAATACTAACCATCTGTGATAAAATTCAGCAAAATGATAATTTGAGCAAATGTGCAAATATTGAGCATCAATGCTTATATTACTCATCCGTGCAAATATTGAGCATTTGTACTTACACCGTGAATATATTTGGTAGATTATATATAATGTCGGAATTCACAAAGCTGATATAGTAGTTTTCATAAAGAAAGGAATTAAATCTCTTTACACTTGATTGGTCAGGATGTTGAAATATGCAGGTTTATTTGCGAATACTTGATTTTGTAACTGAAAAGATATTATTCCTCGCATATAATATCTCGCAAAAATAATGATTTTCGTTTAAGAACGAGATTGGCGTACGTTAAATGTTTAAGGTCAATAGACACGTTTGAGAACCAGTGTTTACCGAAATATATGCTTTACAATTGCCTAAAATTCTGTAGCAAAGTTTACAGGGATATAAATGAATGTGTTTCATTCTCTAGATATATGTTTCTTCATTACTTCGAAAATCATCTTTTGAAAACAAACGAACACATTTCAAAACCATCTTATCAGTTATATATAAAATGTTAAGAAGATTACACGTAATTGATAAGATTGACACAATATAACTTCCACTCTTCTTGATAGGAAACTTTCCTGAAAATGCTGTTTTTAATACACGATAACATCTCCACTGTCTGTTAAAGGTCAGCCTCATTAATATTTCCTCTAACGATTGTTACAAAAAACGGAAAGATATCAGGTATTGACATGCCTTGAGCTCTCCACATTAATGTAAGATAGCGAAGATAATAAGCATCGTCAATACACGTGTATTATTATAACCGGAAGAACATTGGAAAGGCTTAGAACTTAAAATGAAAATCTTGTTAAAGTACGTATTTAATTGATTAGTAAAAAGCTAGTATTTCTTAAAAGTACACTTGCGGCTAATAACCTGAAAATTAAATTTCATATAGATTTATTATCTCTCGGCGTGGTGATTATGCCAATAAGCCTGCGGAGTGCTATCATTATATCTATTGAAAGAATCATGTATCAATTTTTCTGGAGTCTTTCTATTTACCTGTACTATCGTATTGATTATTCTTAAAAGGATTCATAAAAGGATTTAGATTATACGTTTGTGATTATGAAGTGGTAGTTCTTGTCTTGTTTGATAGAAGTAAAATGCATAATATTTGAAATCAATCCTTTCCATATAAAATAGGTACAAAGATCTCACGAACAACCTTGTCTGGAGGGTATTGAAGTTTGGAAATTTTGCGGCGTGAAAATGAGTAAAATTATAAAAAAAAAAGTAAATATATATTTGAGATAACGCGAGAACTTCCACATCGCGATTACTGTAAACAATCACAATGCGAGCAATTCCACACACGATCATTTTTCTTCTTTACATTATTGCACAATTTAATAATAGTAAGTAGAATGGTTCTGTTTTATATGTGTACATCAATAACTAAGAGAAATTATGAAAAGAACGCCAGACTTTTATCTGTTTAGATACAGGTTGTGTCAGGCAAAACCGACGGATGACTTCTGTTTTATTATCACCATCAATCCCAAAAAATGTCCACAGTAAAGATATATGATTAAATATAATCTAGGCCTATAGTAGTCACCGGTTAGCCGGTTAACCGGGTACTCAGTCGGAAGGCCACGAACCGGTTACCAAAGTCAATATATATAAACTTTATTTATTTTACAACAATTATGAAACTAGCTATTTCAACTTATATTAATCCCTCTTGTTGGCCCAGATGTTAGCGCGTGGGGGAGGGTCTTAGTGTGGGAGGAAACCGGAGTACCCGGAGAAAACCCACGTATTCGGGCATGAACCTTTTCACGTCCGATCGGGGAATCGAAACCCGGCCGCCTTGGTGAAAGGCAAGTGCGCTATCAACAGTGTTCCGGCTGATATGTTAGTGCCATTTTTGTACTCTGTTGTGAAGATTGACAAAGGGATGCCGCCAGCACAAAATAAAAACCTGAACAGGTTTAAAAAGAAAGCGAGTAACAAAGTTATGAAATATCATCTTTTAGAGGTCAAGTATTGACCTCGCCTTTACATGTAAGATGTATCTATATTCTGGAGAGTACACACGTGAATGAGCATGTGTGTATTAAAATGTTTGTCGGTCAAATTCTGTTCTAAGGAACAATATCACCGCATATGGTTTCGAGTACAGATAACTGTCTGTATTTAGACATTGGTTGTCCATGAAATATTCTTATTGACGTTACATGTAACTATTTCCTGCGTTTAGCTTGAAATACGCAAGTAAACTGTTATGCTTATTAATACATACATGTATGTATGTGGTGTAAATACGTTTCAAATCGAACATGTGCTAAGCATGTAACGTATTGCTGTTGTTTATTGTTTGAATACCAAATTGACCGAATAACCGGTTACTCGATCGGAAGATTGTTCGAGTAACCGGTTACCAAAATATGACCGGTTTGACAACCCTAGGCTATAATCACATGATTACCGTGTTATTCAGTTATTGCAGTCATGTCTTCATTGTTCTGATGGACTCATGTTTATGACATAATGTTGTGTCATGAATATATAGTGCCATGACGTAACATGACGTCAGCAGAAGATAACAGAATTTTATATTTCCAAAATTGCCTGCATACAGAATGTAAACGTATTGTTTTGTAGAAATCCCTGATCGTATTATCAAAATGGTATTTTTATATAATTGGTTTCTATTCCATATGCAATTAATGTTTCAAGTTTATGATGATTTGTTTTTATTTTGCGAACCAGTGTTTCATTGAGGTCGTTACTCATGCAATTGACCCTTCAAATAATGTTTATTTACATTTTCATTTTGACTTCGGTTGTTTTTCTGTTCTTTTAACTGATCTTCATCAATATCATTGCTAAATATAATTGTATTATTATATTCACGTGACTTATTTCATCCAATCAACGACAGCGACATATCATGTATATACACTTAAACAAAACGTTTGTAATTTAAGCAGTATACAGTATTATACTTAATAAGCTTACACCATTATGACCTTAATCAAACATCTTACTTTTTAGTAACGGCGAGTATTTTCCCGGGTGGCCGAGAGAGGATATGGTCAAAGTTAGGATCACTTGACGACCAATTGGAATATGCTGGTCAGGTCTGGATTCAGGAGAATATATCCAGACTTAAATGTTCTGTGGAATGCACCATAGATTCGTCTTGCGAGTCATTTTTCTACAACAGGCTACTTAACAGGTGCGTCGCTCTGTCCGGACAGCCCGAGGACTTCACTTCTCTTGTTAACGAGCCGGGTTATAACTTCTACCAGAATCGACCAGGTAAAGCATGCAATGAGAGAAAAAAAGAATTGGTCAAAAGAAAGCAAAGAAAAATGAATAAATAATAAAAGGGACCACCAATGTGACAAGTTTATGATTTTTTTCCCTCGCAACTCTACTGGTCTTCCTAAGATCAATGAAACACATTCCAAACAAAAGATTGTCCATATGTCACTATCAAAATGGGTTTTGCTAATGGGAAAAGGTTCCACTAATAGTTTTAATTTTAACGAAGGGTTCCACACAAAGGTGTGTTTTTCTGGCTTAGAGCAACTTCTTATGTAAAGTTTTTTGCAAACGACTGGGTTATAACTTCTACCGCATCGACCAGAAGGGACCACCCGATTAATAAAGTGTATGATTTTTCTCTCTCCCACTCTACCATTCTGCCTAAGATCAATGAATCATAAATATGATGAACATTCCTGGTTATACATGTATTGGCAAACGCAGGATTGTCTACATGACACAATAGAAAAAAAAAATATTTCTGCTTAAGGTAAAGGGTTTCGCTGCATCAGTTTTAATCGCACAGAAGGGTTCCACTGAGAGATCTTTTTCTGGCTTGGAGTAACTTTCCCTGTCAAGTTTTTCATATGCTTTGTAGCCGATGAATTGGACACTAAATTCGATGGTGTACTTGTATTATTCCTATTGGCAGCGTTGCTGAAGTGCAGGCGGCTCTGTAATGAAAACGATCCCATCCAAATCCCTGCAGTTTTTTTGTTTTCTTCTTTTATTTCTATTTTAAACAATTCAAACTTTGAACAAAAACAATTCTGTCAAATGCATGGCAACATGCGAGTTTTATGAAATATTTTGTTTTGGAAAAGAAGTTAAACGATCATTTTACAATAGTGACAATGGCAATTATTAACATTAATTATATAATGCAACTTTAACTTGTTTGTATACACTACCTAAATTGGTAGCGCTACAATGTATGTTAGACCACTTATAGTAAATACAAATGTATTTAACCGCACAGAAAACACTTGATTAATTTTTCGTGCTAAACGAAATTTATGGACAAGCCAAGCAATCAGCACAAAATAAGTTATAGTTGGCAATTTAAAAAAAAAACGGAAAAACAAAGCTACACAAGGTAGGCGGCAGTGTTTTACATTTTCACAACTGTATGATATTTATGCAAAACAATGAATTAACCTGCATTCTCATAGCAAAACTAAAATGGCGAATATACCACAGCGTCAACACACACAAACAAATATTGAACTCGAACTATACGAAAACACAACAGCTTGAACTACGGAGACACAAACAACACGAAAAGACATTTTGAACCCTCACAAATTTATTTGAAGCAAATCCAGGTCAGTATGACGTTTGAGAGTTTCCCTGCAACACATGTGACACGCCAGTATGTAGGCAATCAACTGAAACAGTAGAAAAAGAAAGTGTCAAAATGTTTCCATCAAATTATAGGCGTTTTCTGGTTAACAACTTAACTGTGCTCTGTCAAGCATATTTAAAAAAGTAATAGCTCAGTGTATTATGTTGTGTAGAATGATTCATTCACCAGGAAGATAAATCTAGAGCAATAAAATGCATAATGCAATAGTTTCAATTATCCAGAATGAATAATATTTGTCACATTTTATCATTGATTACGAACGTAACATGTGTATGTGTATATACACCTGTTTTGTGCCTGCGGGTGTCTAAAACCTTGTAACATAATTTTATAACCATATTCACTGTCATACACCTCAACCTTATCAGTCCCTCCAGTAATCACGTGGTGACGTTTTATGGTAATTAGCAGATCTCTCACCGACATCCATATTCATTAAGTTATTTATGTATTTTTATTTCTGCATAGTTGTATAACGCTGATAAGGTGAATCGGGATGGCTTGCGGGTACTGACACCATAACTATACTCGCTCTGTAGTTTGGTCATGTCTGGGTGACGTGTGGTCGCTTTAACCCGTGTTAAGTGTTATCGAGTACCAATTATTCCGCCCAACAATCACCAATCCGGACCACTTGTCCGAGGTCTATTGTTCGCGGCCAAATGATATCGGTAACTTTGACATTTCACTGGAACTATTCTAGGAACCGTGATCTGATATTGTCTGCCATGTATCTGTCACTCGTCATATTCTTGTACAACAGACACGGTTTACCCGCGGACATTCCGTAAATGTAATACAAAAGAATAGGGCACACATTCATCCTATTAAAATCATTTTACAATAAAGTGGAAATTATTTAATCATTTAATAACCCGTCACATACAAAATTCTTATTCAACTGTTACAGTTGTGTCAGAACACCATGCAGAGTTGTAAAAGAGCAAGAGGCAAGATATGTACTATATACGCTATACTGGTTTTATACGTCTAAAGTTAGACATTCAAATGTGAATGTGCAATCTTCATTCACAGTTGTCCTTTAAAATTGCTGCATTTATTGACAACATTTTTCAAAACTAAGAGCTTGTGTTAATCAGAGCGAAAACATAAACACCTATCTTGGTAACAATAAATACGCTCTCATAAAATCGCTTACCTATTGCAAATAATTATATGCAGATTTCTTTTATGAAATAGTGCTAGGCATTTCAGTATATATGTGTCGTCTTTTCTGCATTTATCACAAACCTTGAATTTTTAATCCATCGGCTATCTGTTCAAAGTGGGAGACATATATTCAAATGTTCGAAAAATTATCATTGGTATATACATCTATGCGTATGGTTACAATAATGCAAGTTAACAAATAAGGTAAGGTACATGCACGAGTTGTTCTTTCCAATCCACATTTATAATGATGTTTATCTTTTGAGAAGTCTCTTCTGCAGTTTAATGTGTTGTCCATTACTTACAGTAAGGCAACAGTAGTCTTCTCACTACCAAACTCTGTGTTATTTACCTACCTACAGTAAGGCAATAATAGTGGCCTAACTACCAAACTCCATGTTATTTACCTACCTACAGTAAGGCAATAATAGTCGCCTCACTACCAAACTCCATGTTATTTACCTACCTACAGTAAGGCATTAATAGTGGCCTCACTACCAAACTCCATGACATTTTCCTACAGTATGACAACAACTGTCACCAAACTACCTAAATCTACGGCATTTACCTACAGTATGACAATAACTGTCACCTAACTACCAAACTTAATGACATTTTCCTACAGTATAACAATAACTGTCACCTAACTACCAAACTTTATGACATTTTCCTACAGTATGACAATAACTGTCACCTAACTACCAAACTTTATGACATTTACCTACAGTATGACAATAACTGTCACCTCACTACTAAGCTTATGACTTTAACCTGCAGTATGACAATAACTGTCACCTCACTTCCTAACTACATATTGTACATGATATTCCAGCCTCTTCTCTTGTCACATTACAATCGCTATTCCAGAGCATATTCTAAACATCGATTTTTTCCCTGTAATAATTTACAAACGTTTGACTAATACAAAGACTTAGCCATGGTCTTCTACCCGAGTATCATCGTCGGAATTTAAAGAATATATTTTTTCCTGACAGAAAAGGTAAGGTATGATCGTGAAATTAAAGTTACCACATTTTTTGTCATAGAGTTTGGTAGTATAATTATTATGATACTGGACAGGTAAAGATAGGAAGAGGTAACAGTGTATGCATTCTCGAAACTCCGGATGTTTCGCTTAGTTTCGCTCTCTGCAGCCCTGGAATATGTCATAGCGAAGTTGGAGGCACGCAGCTAGCTGTAAAACAAACCTGAACAATCATACAGGGGCGAAACACGACTTCAACGCATATCAATTTCACCGTTACGCGATTGCGAGATTCTTTTGATGTACATTAAACGATCAAACAAGTCTTCTTGTCTCATCCACAATGTGTCCTTCGAGTTTGCTACACTGTATAACATATCCCATTGGTGCAGAGAGCGAAAGTGAGCGAAACCCCTGGAGTACCGATGATGGAGTGTATGAGAGAATAATCATAAACGCTACATCAAAACCATCCTTAGGTTTTCTAGAAAATTTCATTAATAACCAATTTTTTACAATATTAAAAATTATGGCATTATGGTTTCAGTGTATTGTGAGAGCGCCTATTCCTATAGGGACTCCGTTGGATTGTGCTACAAACTGTACAACGTTCAGCGGACATACGCGGACGCACAGACTGCCTGTAACACCGATGGGGGACATCTCATCCGAATCGACACGGAGGCGAAACAGGATTACATTAGATATATACTACAGTCTACAGGTCAGAGACACATGATCGGGGTTTAACATCTTAGTGAATAAACAAACTTAATCTTCTTGTGCTCTCATTGCAATATTTTAGATCATTAAATGTCTATTCCTCTTTTTCTGTTATTGTTAATTTCCTTGCCTCTTTTAGTAATTGTTTTAATTTTTTCTGGGATACGATTAACTTAAAAATTAGTTTCTCTTTGACATTAATATGTCCCAGAACATCTTGTGATCTTGACTTGTAAGGAGATGTTTTATGGTGCCTTTCATTATCTTTCCTCACATTAAGCTTCTTTTGTAATTGTTATCCATTGTTTTACTTTATATTTTACTTTGTTTCGTGTGAATGCTTTTGTGTATGTATTACCTAACCTTTTAGTTCTCTTGTGCATTTTTACCCATTTGTTCTGTGTAACTTTCTTTTGGCAATGGGATGTGTGATTTAAGCTTTCTGTGTGTGCTTTTGCCTGTCGATCTTGAGAATCCTTGTTTTGACGACGATTCACTATTTGTGCATAAATGTTTTCGCTCCGTATTTTGGAACATGTTGGTCATGTGTACATTTTTGGCGTTTAGAATACATTTTAAATGCATAGGTAGCTTTCTATGTGGTTAATATATGTATCATTAAAAATAAAGGTTCCGAAACGAGTTGGTTTTCATAAAGAGGTTTATCGAGTGTCTTTTACAATTTGCAACGTGTGTTAGATAAACATGATAATCAACCATCACAAGTTTTGGGACCTTTTTTCCCCACGAATTTCGTATGTAACATCTAGACATCCATGTTTCTTTTGACATTGTTAATTGACGTCTTAATTAGAAGATTGACCAAAGAAATAACGTTAAGGGTGTTACCCACCAAACATGTTTACCAACTCCTAGCATGTGTATCCAATGAGTTGGGAGTGACGAAATCTATAGTGGTTGAAATAACAAATGGCGTCATTTGGAAAGTCGAAGTAAAACGTACGTCATGCAGGCAGGTGCAAATATTTATTTTGTACTGTTTTACGGCCCTTCGACAATTTCAGTAATTTCGAACGAGAAACAATAACAACCACTCAGAAAAGGGTATTACTAATGAGATAGTGAGTCGTGTTTTATATTCACATTTGTTGTTAAGAGTTAAACACTTTGCATAGATTCAACTGCCATTCATTACTATTATTAACACGTTATACAATGCTATTTCAGGATCGCCCCACATGTATATTGAGGCTACGGACGAGGTGACAGAAGGGGTGTTCATGTGGGGGGACGGTCGGCCGATCAACTACACCAACTGGTTTGCGACAGAACCAAACAACGAGGCTGGCGTGGAGAACTGCGTCATGCTCGCCAACGCAAACTTCGAATGGTATGACATTCCGTGTAACTCGCCAAATACGTACATCTGTGAACTGTCCGTCTAAGAGAGGAGGGTTCCGCGCGCGGTACCACTGTGTTGACAACAGAATTATCTTGTAACTCAGCAATGTTTTACATCAGCGTGGCCACCTCAACACTATTGTAATTCCACTAGGTTAATATCTGGGGCCACCACAAAACTGTTCTAGAGAAAGGTGAAACACAAATTTGTTCTCCCTCAAAACCGTTATATTCCGCACGGTTATCACCGTATGCTAAATGTACAGTCACTAAAAATATAAAGGAATGAAGCGACTATATAAAACACTTAACTATTTTGCAACATATGGTTATTTCTTTTTATTCATATGTGAGTTGTTCTTCAGATGAAACGAATGAAAATCCGTGTCTTTTATGTTATTTAATATAAGTAGATATACTTGAAAAGGAACAATGTGTATATAAGACCCTTTATAAACAAAGGGCAAAAGAGCAAAGGAATGTAACTATTTTGTCACCCCTTCCAAAACTGTATCACTCCGCATGGTGATAAAGCTGCAGGTCACCGCAAATAACGTGACGCAAAAAGATCGCCATATTGATAGCACCTCCGGTATCAAACGACAACACCTAAAGGAGGACCAATATCGATAGCAACTCCGGTATCAAACGACAACGCCTAAAGGAGAACCAATAGTCATAGCAACTCCGGTATCAAACGACAACACCTAAAGGAGGACCAATAATGATAGCAACTCCTGTATCAAAAGACAACACCTAAAGGAGGGCCAATATCGATAGCAACTCCGGAATCAAACGACAACGCCTAAAGGAGAACCAATAGTCATAGCAACTCCGGTATCAAACGAAAACACCTAAAGGAGGACCAATATCGATATCAACTCCGGTATCAAACGACAACGCCTAAAGGAGAACAAATAGTCATAGCAACTCCGGTATCAAACGACAACACCTAAAGGAGGACCAATATCGATAGCAACTCCTGTATCAAACGACAACACCTAAAGGAGGGCCAAACCTCTATATTCAAGTTCAACAGATCGAGATGTGGGTATAAAAAGGTTGCCTTCAAAAAGCCAAGATAATGTGAATGAAACGCCCAAGAGAAAGTTACCGATATAACTAGAACTATATCATTATTAAATATTGTATCATTTAAGTTAGACTGATAATTTTAATTATATCGTACAGAGGCAGAAAAGTTGAATTTACTACCCCCGCCCGTACTTTGTTGATGTGACATTTCTAGGATTTGATCCAGATTACGTTGCGAGTTCGATGAAGCACAAGACGCTTAACCTTCCTTAACACCTGGTCCTATTTCCTTGTACTTTTCAAGGGACTCTGTGTAAATGTATGTCTTGGGCCTTATTTTGCCGTAGTTTCATCATCGATAAATTTGGGTTTTAAGTACGATTTTATTTACACGTCTCTATTCTAATGTTGTTTTTCAGTTGATAGCCAAGAAAGGATAGATTTTTTTAATGACCTGCAATAGGAAACAAACTCAAACGCATTTATAAAAATTTAAAAAGAGAATCCATTTTTTGGGTCTGTGACTAAGAATAGTGTGTATACGATCCCATGTTACATATACGCATTAATGTATTTTTGTGACTGTCGAGTTCTAAAGGAAGGATTTATTAAGCGTTATCCTTACTGCAAGTAAGGGATGAGCTTGTTATATTGATCTGATGATGTTGGTACAATGAAATAGGAATTATAGTACAAATAAAAGAAAACCAGAACAGCTGTCACTGTTTTTATTTGTCTAACGACATTATATAAACTTCCATGCAGTTCTTTTCTGATAATCGATTCACAGTAGTAACAGGTGTTGAGTGTTAGCTATATAGGGACCGCAGAATCAAATGATTTTCCATAGACGATAGTGTTAACGTTTAACACTGTCTTGGTTAAATGGGGTTATCCACACTGGTTTACCTGCCCTCATTTTGAAGAATATCGTGTCACACAACTGTAAATAAAATATTTAAAAATTCTGCCTATTTGAACATTTTTTATATGGGGGCCGCCATCTTGTATTGAATTCGGCACCAACATTATTATTTTTTATACATTTTACATCTATATATATTGCTCAAACAACACAGACAACTTTTGAAACTTCTGCCACCTAAATATCCAACCAGCAGGCCCCGAGACATTCACCTTCCTATTAAATCTTCTGCCCAAAAGGGAAAAACCCACCCACAATCTATTTTTGATTTGGTTCCGTGGTCCCTATAGCCAACATCATACCAGGACTTTCTCCTGGCAAAACATTCATTTTAGCTCTATTAACTGTGAGATTTAGCCAGTCTTCATCCAAACTGGTGATCAATGGAAATTCCTACAATCTAAAACAAACAAAATAATCTTCTAACAGAACATAATTTCATTTTCTCATTTTCCTTTTCGATGCTTTATACATAACAAGTACAATATATTTTACTCCCTTTTTCGTATGTTTATCACAGTTTCTATGATATATTTTCATTAGACCCGCTTCTTCTAGAGCATGTGTTATTCAGTTTCATCACTATATTGCACTAAAATCTCTATTTTGATAAAACGTCATGTTGCTTCCCCATGCTATTATTCATCGCAGAAAGTGGGAATTAATATAATGTTATATGATGATAGCCAATGTATTTCTTCCTAAAACCGTGCTCGTGTCAGGTTGTCAAAGTAAAATTGCCCATCACCAGAGACAAGTGATGATATTAAAGCAGTAAATTCAGGGGTTATGTTCACATTCTCTCTCTCTCTGCACCCCTGGAATATGTCATAACCCAAAATTGAAGGCTCAGTGTGCGCCATCTTGTGAATGAGACGCGAAGACTTGTTTGATACTTTGATGTACATCAAACTTATATCGCGGTCGCATAATTGTAAAATTGACTGGCTTTGAAGTCGAGTGTTGCTCCTCTGTAATCTGAAATGGACAAGTATCTACCTAGTGCTTTGTCAGGCTTTTTTACCTGACACCAATCAAATAGCTAGCCCTGTGCCTTAAATTTTGCTTTGACATATCAAGGGGTGTAGAGAGCGAAAGTGAACATAACCCCTGGATATCGAGGATGTCAAATAGCTAGCCACATCCATTTAATCTTGCAATGACATATTCCAGGCGTGCAGTGAGCGAAAGTGAGCCTAATCCAAGAGGTATCGAAGATGGATTCTCTATAACTTGGAGAAAGTCATGCTGTCTTTTTTTTCATTATAGTATCAGATCAGAGCCTTTATATTTGCATGTGTGAAATACATGGGAGTTAATGTAACTTAGTACATTTTGAATCCTCTAGTTAATCTCAAGTTGTAAAAAAAAACGTTAAAATAATTTTGCCAATCAGTCTTCTTTTAAGTATTTTCTAAACATAATTTGATATGTATGAATGAAATAAATGTCTCATTACAATCACTTCTACAGTCATAATCAAATATATTAATAATACAAAAATGTTTTACTTTTTACCTGAAATGAATAAAACGTATTGATAAAATTCAAAGAGAATGGACAGTTACTCAGACATCAGCTCTGATATGCATAACTAGCCAGTTAACTAATTCACCCCTGAAGACATATTTTTAACTCTTCCAATTCAAAGGATGGAATAGTTCATTATGAAATTTCAGGGGTGAATGAGTTAAGCGACTCATACTTTCCCTGGTTACACATGCAGCCCAAACAACTGGTGAAGTTGCATTGAAAGTGAACCATATAAAATCTGAATCCAACCATGCATGTACATATATGTAATTAATAAATAAATATGAAACCTTGAATATTAACATCTGTCATTGATCTAGCATCCATGTACCAGGTAAAACACCAATTGGTTCTTGTGTTAACACTTTGGTGTACATGTAAATCTTTCTGGGTTTTTTTTAATTGTATACACTTGAATGTAATTGACCTGTTACAGCACTTTGATTTGATCAATACAAGGTTTTATGGAGGGAAGACAGACAATATCAAACCTGGATTATTTTTCTAAACCAATATTGGTTTTCTTCACTTCAAAAAATCTTGTATCCACCTCATCAAAGTGCCATAAATGTTTAGACAAGTATACATCAATGATATGGTTAAGGATGTACTCTTCGGAGGTTTCAATCACGTTCAAGTCTCGTTTTGATCTGGTGTAATAGGTTTTTATAATATTTAACAAATTATGATCAAATTTATTAGCAAACACGCATCTGAAAAATATGTCAAAAAAATAGATGCCTGTTGTTTGTAGAACTTTTTTTACAAGAATTTAAAAAATTACCAATTCGGCGGCCATTTTGAAAATGTGTATTTATGTGTATTTCTTGCGCTTCAAAAAAGGCCAAAATTTCACCTTTTTTAACACTATTTTGATCACTTAAATTGTCATTGTGTCGCCATTCTTAATTGTAGCAGGTTCAATTTTGCTGTACAACTTTATAATGTTCAATATGATAAAAATAATATGCAACAAACTGGAAAATTATACATTATTGATATTTTTTTTACGTTTTTAGTGTAACTGAAGCACTTTTGATTTTTGACCCTGAAAAAAGTAAAAAAAATACACAAATGATAACGGGACAAAAAAAGAAGCACACTGACCACCCATTTTTGTAGATGTTTTAGAATGTTTTAGATGTTTAATTCATTAAGTATTAAAAAAAGTTAAATACCAGAACTTTTTATATCAAGCGTTTAATCTGTAAAAAAAATGGTAAATAATGAGTTTGTTTTCATTAAAAAATAGGGGGTAGGGGTAACTAAAATCGGCTTTCTGAGTTAAAAGAATAAGATTAAGAAATTTTACTTCCATAATTTAAAAGAAAACAATATTTTTATCAATTCTACAAACATTCATACATATCTGATAACACACTTGGAAGAAATTGTATGAATTTGTTCTGCAAATGGTCAAAACCCCAAAATCACCTAAAATCACATGTTGTGTTAAATTGGTATCTTTGACCGATCATAGCACAAAAACGAACATATGTATTTTTTTGCATTTTCTACTATATGCCATTAATTCCTTTTTCCAAAAATCCATATAAGAAAAAAAGTTTAATACAGGAAATTTTTGACTTCTAAGAGGTGTACATCCTTAAGGAGCACTCATGTGGTTACAAAACTAGTTAAATCATAAAGCATTTGAAAAACATATAAGGTAAAACAAATTGTGATTTTGTCACTCAAAAAAGAATGGAAGCAAAATCAAATATCTTTCCTGATGAGTTACAAAGTACATAAGCCTGTGAGTCACTTTTTCAATATATTAATATATTTTGTATAAAATATCACAATTATCTATTATGGAATAAAATATTATTTTATGCTGTTTGGTGTGTCAATCTCTTGTAATATAAACAACAGTCGTCTGGAAGGGTTGAGATTCACAAATACAATGTATCACTGTTTGGGTACATAAATTTCATAACAAGACACAAGGGAGAAAAATCAAATTAAGGATCCCTGTCCCACTGCATGCAAATAAAACATTAGAGAATTTCATTGTAGCTTTTGAGGCATGCAATTAGCTCCTTTAACTTCGTTTTGGGATATGAATTACTGCAGCTGGAACTAAGCCTGAAAACTATCGCTGATCAGGTAGCTGAATTGGTTACAGCGACCCTATGTGTGATTTGAGGTCCAGATTTGGTCGTGCAGTTAAAAAAGTTCCCGATTTATAGTTATAGTTTTTGGCAGTGGGACAGTGATCCTTAAAAATTGAAATTTCAAAATATATAAACACAGGTACTCAACACGCCAACAGAAAAAAATCCATTTTGTCAATAATAATTATTATAATAAGTTAAACAGCATTCATGATAACGTAATATATGATATCCAGCTGTTTCTAATATATAAAGATTATTTTAAAATAAAATATAATATTTCACACAAAATTATTGCAAAAAAATGTTGCGCTTTTTGAGATGTAAATAATTTGCTTGCACAATTGCAAATATCGTAAAAAAAAAAATAAGAAAAATTATGAGACATTTCAATTATAACAATAATAGTATAATCTTAGGTAATAGGGGTTCCTAAAAGGAAATGTGAATTCAAACAATTATATAAATATTAATTTTGATGATTTGCATCCTGTCTTGCATAGTCTATAGTTCCCCATCCTTCCTGAAAATTTGTGATTTTTCTGCCTGTTTAGATGGAGTCGTTTGGCTGGATTCGCTCACACACTCACAGGCAGCTTTCTGGCTGTTTATAAAGCTACCACAGCCTAAAGCCACTGTACCATGATACATCAGTTGTGCTGTCGCATCACACCCTGTAACATTAAATATTCAAAATGGCTAATGCAAGTTACAAATATTTTTCTTTATATAAACATCAATATAGTGTCTGCCATGTTGTTTATCCGATCAGTCTCAAAAGTTGCCTTGCACAGCTAAGGACCAAGGGGAACCTACATATAAAATTTGAGAAAGATCCCTCTGGCACTTCTTGAGAAATAGCGATAACAAACTTTCACTATCAAAATCCAAGATGGCTGCCTATCAGCCATGTTGTTTATCCGATCAGTCTCAAAAGTTGCCCTGCACAGCTCAAGACCCAGGGGAACCTACATATAAAATTTGAGAAAGATCCCTCTGGTACTTCTTGAGAAATACCGATAACAAGAATTGTTTAAGGATGGACGACGGACGGACGACGGACCACGGACGCAGGGTGATTTGATAATGGTGGGCTAAAAACATAGTGAGATATCCAACAAAGCAAGCTTTGATCACATGAAATCAAATTTTCGAAACAAGTAAAAGTCCATTGTAAAAGTTTTAAATGGAAAATGCCATGATTGAACATTAGGCCAAGCGTATTAAAATATGTACCTTAAACTTCAATTCTTTGATATTTCTGTTTTTTAAAGTAATTTTTTTCAGAACACTTTATAAGAAAAAGATTTTTGCTAATCTGGGAAATTCAAAACATTGTGAAATGATAATCACAAATCGAAATTTCCCCTTTATTTGTTTACCAGAACAGATATATAGAGGATATCTAATGGTGTCTTCAGTAATAAATATATTTCACGAGTGTGGCTAATATATTGATATTGCGCACAAGTGACAAATATCAAAATGTTAGCCACACGAGTGTGCAAATATCACTTTTGATATTTATCACAGTGTGAAAGATATCAGTTTTATCATTAGTTGATAAAATCCAATATTTTACTGACAAAAATGTAATAAATATATGTAATTCTTTTAAAATCAGTTTGCTTTGATCATTTATGATCAATGTGTCTTTTTTCTTTTTTAATTTAACATGGCAAAAAAACACTTATTTTTTTTTACTTTTATTCTTTTCAATCGTATTTGTAATCTCACAAATTCAATGAAAGTCCATATGTTGCCCGCCCCAGCTGGCGTCCATGTTGATTTTCTGTTTTCTAATTTTTTAAGTCAATATCACATTTGAATGGGTGATTGATATTGTAAGCATGTGTAGAAAGTTCTCCTGAAAATTGAAATCTTCTTTGAAATCCTATCACAATGAAACCATATTTGACTTTTCACAAGTATTCCAAGATGGCTGCCAGCTGGCACCCATGTAGATTTTCAGAATTGGTTCAAAATCAAACTTGAGCAGGTAACAATTGATATCACAGCATACGTTAAAATAAATCATGAAAATCAATGCCTTCCTTGAGCTGTTATCACAATGAAACCATATGTGATTTTACATAAATATTCCAAGATGGCTGCTAGCTGGTACCCATGTAGATTTTCAGATTTGGTTCAAAATCAAACTTGAGCAGGAAACTGATTCTACAAGTATGTGTAGAAAGTTTCATAAAATTCAAATCATTCTTTCAAGAGCTTTCGCATGGACAGACATCATTTTTTGCAGATGAAGCCAATGGAACTCTCCCAATAGTAACTCATTCACCCAAAATTTCATAATGAACTATTCCAACCTCTGAATTGGAAGAGTTCAAATGTGTCTTTAGGGGTGAATGTGTTAATTGCACCTTTTGCTTTGCATGCAGGCAACACAATAATTACTTTTGTGATCATATTGGTCAATGTTAAATCATTTGATGTGTTATAGTACCTACCGTCATATTCATCTTTGGATAATTTGTCTTCTAACTCCATGCACATCTCGTCTAAGCACTTTTTGAAGATGCGGTCACAACTGTCTTTGACTGAATTACATGTGTCATAGCAGATATCATGCTTGTTGCAACACTTAGTCATCTTGGGAAGTTTTTTTGTGTCCAGCTAAACAAAAAGGAAAATGGTTACACTTGATTTTTTTCGAGATTGTGGTTGGTTGAACTATGATACATTTTTTGACAGATGATTTTTTACGCTTAAAGAAATTTATGTAAAGCTTTCGATAAAAAAACCATCCAAGTTTAATAAAAGAAAAATTGTGAAAGAGCCTTGTGTATATATATACATATCATGGATGTATTGACAGATGAAGTCCGAATTATTCTGACGTTTTATCAACTTTTTTCATATCGGTTTGTCGTCGATTAACGACGTTAATCGACGACAGACCGAGTCGTTAATCGACGACAGACCGATATGAAAAAAGTCGATAAAACGTCAGAATAATTTGGACTATGACAGATGAGGCTAGTACCTGTGGTATATTAAAACTATTCTCACATACCGATGACTGTGAAAACAGTGGAAAAATGCAATGACCAAGCCTGGATTTAAAACCAAATACCCCAGAACTCTAAACCGGTGCTCTTACCAAGTGTGTAATCAACCCAACACTTGTGATCCTTCTATATTGACAATAGGCCAAGGGGATATAACTCTTGTTTGTAATTCAACCCAAAACACTGTTAGCGTATAGCAATGTAATATCAATGCATACATTTGATAAAATTTTACACTAGCCATGAAAGTATTCATACTTGCCAACTCTCCCTATTTAGGAGAAGACATCCGATTTTGGACCCTTAAATTCAGTATTCTCAACCAGTGAATTTGCTAAACTATTCCTATATATTCTAAGATCAAATGATTTCATCCGAAAAAGCAACTAAAAATATGTCACTTTAAAGGGTTATTTTTTCTCTAGTGGGTATATATCAAATTATACAGGATCCTGACGCAAGGTACAGTAAATACCGACTTAAAATTAAAACCAAGCAAAATATAAAAAAGAAATATGAGATAAGATTCTTTAATAAACTGAAAAAAATAAACGAGAGTAATAAATTATTCATGTATAAAGACTTAAAGATGGCATATGTCCCTGAAAAATACCTTAATATTAACAGTAGTAATTTAAGGAAAATGTTTACTTCATTTCGTTTATGTGAACACAAGCTGGAGCTAGCCATGGGGCATCTCAAAAGTATACCAATGCAAGAGACCAGAGACTCTGTAAAAATGTGGTGTGTTAGAAAATGAAGTACACTTCTTTTTTCACTGTTCCCTAAATGAATCTTTCCAAAAATGCATTCTTAATCACAATGATGTTACCTTAGATACCAATTATTTGACCTCAATATTATCTACAAACAACTCCCAATTTATACTGGACTCTTGCTTATTAATTAAACAGTCTCTAGAACTGAGGAGAGTGGGCTTGCTGACAGTATAAGGTATGGACTTTTCAACTAAAAATGTTTAAATCAAATTTTATTATTTGAAGCATTGTTAATTTTGTTCATGTTAATGTATATTAGAAATATAAGCTATCACCTTGAGACTTTTCTACATGTACATGTCTATGTATGTATTTCACTGTGTTTTTCTATTTTGCCTTCAAACTACTTTGTAGTTACAAAAGTGCAAAAAAAATTTTGAATTTGAATTTTTATAATATACTCCTATTCTATTTTCCCCCCATGGAAATTTCTAAAAATTGGCATTCCCGCTGCAAGTATGACTATATTTGATAAAATTTTATACAAATGGAATACATATCTGAGAAAGACAAGGATAAGATGTGTTGTATTAAATATATAATTACCTTTATTCCATGTGAACCACAACCATTACTAGAGGGCAAGTAGTCTGATCTTGGCTTTGTGATTTGTCCGGCTATAGAAAAAAACACATTTAGTACATTTTATTTTAGTATATGAAATCTTAGTCTGAGATAATACTAGAAGTATATGTATTCGTTCATCAATATACATTATCAACTACACAGTCATGAAGTATAGACGCATTGCGTTCGCCCTTGAACACCACAACCCAGGTTCTAACTCCCTGTCACCAAAGGGAGGGCCACTGATACAAGACACCATTTGTAATCCTATGTACTATTAAAATCTGTCAAATATGCATGTACAAGTGTAAGGTACCATTTATAAATGTGTGTACATTATGTATATTCTTATATGGTTGGTCCTTTTAATTAGAGTGTGACCTAGGTCAGATAAGCTCAACAATAAAATAAACTTTTCAAAACGCAAAATCAAACTTAAATATGCATAATCTTTCTTGTCTTCATATGATAACTTTTGAAATCCTATGCATACATGTAGTTTGAATTTCAATAATATGAAAACAAAGTTGAATAGCGTTAACAAATCACTGCATAGTCAGGCATTTCACATGTCTAACAATATAATTTCTTCCATTTCTGTTGTTCTGTTTGAAAATAAATATGCATTCTTAACAATGCAAAATTGTAAACACTATTTAACAGATATATCATGTACAAGTAAGCAAATCTTTATTTGTACTATACAAGCAAATAATAACAATTACAAGATTTCAATGTTTCTTGTCTATTTGATCTGTATATTTCACCGTATTTCAATACGTACTTTCAGGACAACGAAATGTACAATCTCCGTCTTCTCCAGTAGCTCCTACCAATGAATCAAGTAGTGAGCCAAAAGAATCCATGAAGTCGTCACCGCCATTTTCACCTAGTTCCCCCAAGTTTAGATCAAAGTCGTTTGCTGCGTAAACAGTCTGAATAACGTTAAAAACAACGAAGAAACTTTGGATCGTAGCTACAGACGCCATCGCGTGTCAGGACATAAACAACATCAATGTCATTTTTTGTCTTGAAGCATTCGCATACAAAATTGCGTCAAAATAAAACACACTGGTGATTGGGATTTCCTGTCTACGTTAGGCGATTTCATTGGGCCTAATTTTAAAAGAGGCCACCATAGGGGTTTACATAGCGCCTAAGAGAGGCCTAGTTAGACACTAAATTAACCACACAGTTCCTATTTTTCTAGGTCCCTCTGGACTGACAATATCCAAAATACATCATATTTATCAACACAATTTTCAAAGTATTGTACATTAAACCGCTAGATAAACAGCAAAGGAGTATCGACTGTCGAGTTACCAGCATTATTTTATTGAGTATAGCCTATGGCCCATGTAACATTTTATATAGATCTAAAAAAATAATTATAAAAGAAGTGTCTTAGAGTCTTACTATATAATTATGTAACTATTTTATGAACTGAATTGATTTATTTAGATCTAAGGGACCCCATTGGAATTAAGCCACAATGTGGCTGCATGGGTTATCCCAGGTAAAGGCCTAAATTAATCTAATCCAATCTAGTTTTATGACATAAATAACTTATAAATAACATCTGTGATAAAATATATATTTATGTCAAATCTTCAAAATGTGATATACGTGTATCACTTGCCTTTTACCTGAATAAATATTATAATTATCAATGGCACATCTTACCTTTTTTTTATGAAAATCGATATGTATACATGCATAAAAACCGCATCGCTGATCTCAACGATGCCTTTTCAATCATACTAAAATTCTTTTTTTTTAAATATGCTTCCACTGAACATTTTAATCCTAAGTATTTGAGATTCAGAACTTTGTTAAATCATATATTCAAGTAGCACCTTAAAATGCTCCAGGTCCCAATAAAAATAAAATCAATCCCAGTTCCACCTATTAAACACACATTTAGAGAATTCTTTGATGGTGAGCCAACATACATGGTTGTTTTACGCTATAACAAGTGTGTGAACAGGAAATGCAAACCTTAACTGAATGAATAAATATAATTGCGATTGTTTTTACAAATGATACAGATAATAATTTTACGTGAATCATTTGTGTCCAAAGAGGTTAACAGGTAAATCATTTAAAAGTCGGTGCGGTTTCAGAAATCCAAGTTCAAGACTAAAAGCCATACTCCGAACCTTTGAGAGTAGATGTGCGGGGCCGAGAGATTACAGGAGAGGAAAATGCACGGCCAGACAGGGGTTCGAAATCTGGGACCCTCCGAACCCTAGACGAACGCTCTACCAATTGAGCCATCTGGACGCCGGCGAATGACCCAGTCCCTTGCCGCTACACACCAAACTTATTTTGCCGAATTTGATGACATAATGGTCATGACCGATTGTTAATATTTTTCAGAGTGATACAAAATTCAAGATGACCACCATTGCATCTTACTTGCTTATTTTTTTTCACATTTTTTTTGTCACTTTCACAAAACTTGACAAAAGTGAGCCTCTCAAGGCCTTGACCAAGTATTAATCAGTTTTGGTCGATTCTCATCAAATATTACACCACAGCTTCCATGCATAGACATTTACAGTTTTTTTTCAACTGTCACAAGGCCAACCGTATCCAAGTTTATAAGTAATGTTCTCATAACCCAAAATAAGTGTTCTTATTTCCGAAGCTGATTCGAAATCCAAGATGGCTGTTGGTTATCAATGTCCTATGACTGGCAGATTTTTTTTTCCGACTTCTTCGTAAGCTCAATTGATGTGAATAATGCTTTTCTAGACCTACCAGGTATTGCTGCATCATTATTTTTTTCAGACTGATACGAAATCCAAAACGAAGCCATATTGTCTAGAACATTTAGATTGAACCGTTTTAGTTTTTCGCGATACAAATGGTTGATCCGGTTGGACCAGAGTTGTTCGTTTATGAAATAGAGGTCGGACCTAATCTGATGCTGCTTTCAGGCGAGCTTTGACAAAGCATTATAACTGGCCTGCATAAACATTTGTAGATCCGCCAGAATTTTAACCCGAAAATGTTACTTTTGAAAAACAAACAAACCGCTTGTTCCGCATAAACGAACAGACCCGCCGGTAATTTCCAGGCAGGGCCTAACATTAGCTTGATTTTAATCAGATTTTGTGCAGTACCTTTGGTTTTCTTTCATAAAGTCTTGTTATTGTTTTAATAAAAGTCTGATATGACTCAAATTAAAGGATATTTTTCAACACTATGTGTTAATTTATGAACAAAATAGAATCAAGTGAACGATACATGTACGATGGACTGTTACATGTAAGTAACGTGGCATCAGTACATCCAAGTCCGTGGTATGACACAATGCTGTGCGGATAATTCACGTGGAAATAAAATAAATAGATAAAAAAACCATCAAAGAAACAGACAGACGGACCTTGTAAATAAACCATAACGGGTAGAAATAATTGAACATTTGTATCGTGTGCGAGTGACAGACGTTATGTCTCAAAAAGGGGAGGTAACTAGGGTGATCCTACATTTGTTTTGAAGAACGACCCGCTCAGGCTATACTCATCAACATGTGACATTGACACGGTTAAAATAAGCCTAATGCTTTTGTTTTCCCTATTCATTTCGTGGTTTATGGTGAAAATACGTTTTATCAAATAGGAGTTCATGTAAGTAAAACATACATATGATATTTAATCTATTATGACTGTATTTCTGAATATATTGAACGATTGTTTTGTAAACATAAAGTATAAAAAGTAAACGTGAAGTACACACATGTTGTGCACGAAATAAACCTGCAGTACAATTGTATATACAGGAAAACATGGTATAAATAAAGTTAACATAGGATACACACAGTAAATATAGAACACACACAGAAAACAAGGTAAACAAAGTATATATGGATTGCATACGGTAAAGATCGAACACACGGTAACTATGGAGCACACACTGTAAATATAGAACACAAACAGAAAACAAGGTAAACAAAGTATATAATGATTGCATATGGTAAACATCGAACACACAGTAACTGTGGAGCACACGCTGTAAATAAAGAATAGAGACAGTAAATATGGAATACACACAGTAACCATTGAGTACACACCGTTGATATAAAACTAGAGACAGTAAATATGGAACACATACGGAAAAAAATGAATACACACAGTAACAATGGAGTATACACAATACACATGGAATATATAAGTAAACACGTAGTATACACTGTTAATATAGAATACAGACAGTAAATATGGAAAAAAATACACTGGACATGGGTATATACAGCAAATATGGCGTACATGTTCAACATGGAGTACACACAGAAAACATTGAATACACACAGAAGGGTTGGCAAATAAACATGGTGTTCACACGGTACATACAGAATACAAAGAGTACATACGGAGTAACCACAGCAAACATGGCGTACACACAGAAAACATGGAATACAGACCGTTATCACGGAGTTCACAAGTAAGCATTGGGTACACACAGTAAATATAGAGTACAGAGGGTAGATATTGAATAAAAACAGCAAACATGTCGTACACAGTAAGCATGTCGCAAAAAAAGCAAACATGGAACATACACGGTAAACACTGTGTGCACACCGTAAATATAGAATAAAGAGAGTAAATATGGAATAAACAATCAACATGGGGTACACACAGCATAAATGATGTGCAGAGTAAACATGTCTACTGTGTGTGCCATGCTAACTGTATGCCAACTGTGTGTGCCATGTTAACTGTATGTCTATTGTGTTAACATGAAGTACACACAGTAGATAAAGTTAAAATGGAGTACACACAGTAGACATACAGTTAACATGGATTACACAGTAGACACAAAGTTAACACGGCACATATACTAGACATACAGTTAACAATACACACACAGTAGACATACAGTTAACATAGAACACAAAGTAGACATACAATTAACATGGCACACACAGTAGATTTACAGTTAACATGGCGCACACAGTAGATATACAGTTAACATGGCGCACACAGTAGACATACAATAAACATGGAACACACAGTAGACATACAATAAACATGGCGCACACAGTAGACATACAATTAACACGGAACACACAGTAGACATACAGTTAACATGGAACACACAGTAGACATAAAGTAAACATGGCACACTTAGTAGACATACAGTTAACATAGACTACATACCGTTAACATGGCACACACAGTAGACATACTGTAAACATAGACTACATACCGTTAACATGGCACACACACTAGACATACAGTTAACATGGCACACCCAGCAGATATACAGTTAACATGGATTGAACTGTAGACATAAGTTAACATGGAGTACAAACAGTAGATAAAGTTAACATGGAACACACAGTAGACATACAGTTAACATGCATTACACAGTAGACATTAAGTTAACACGGCACATTCACTAGACATACAGTTAACATTGAACACACAGTAGACATACAATCAACATGGAACACACAGTAGATATACAGTTAACATGGAACACACAGTAGACATACAGTTAATATGGATTACACAGTAGAAATAAAGTTAACATGGCACACACACTAGACAAACAGTTAACATGGAACACACAGTAGACATACAATTAACATGGAACACACAGTAGACATACAGTTAACATGGCACCCACAGTAGACATAAAGTTAACACGGCACACATACTAGACATACAGTTAACATTGAACACACAGAAGACATACAATTAACATGGAACACACAGTAGATATACAATTAACATGGAACACCCAGTAGACATACAATTAACACGGAACACACAGTAGACATACAGTTAACATGGCACACTTAGTAGACATACAGTTAACATAGACTACATACAGTTTACATGGCACACACGTTAGACATACAGTTAACATGTATTACACAGTAGACATAAAGTTAACACGCCATACACACACACTAGACATACAGTTAACATGGAACACACAGTAGACATACAATTAACATGGCTCATACAGTAGATATACAGTTAATATGGATAACA